GGAAGAGATGACACCTGAGTGCAGACATGAAAGGAGCTGAGGGAGTGAGAAGTGCCATCTGGAAGAAGATTGGGCAAAGCTGGGGGCGTAGCAAGTGCACCGAGCTGGGTCAGGGTGCGGGCTTTGGTGTTCAAGAACCGAAGCGTGCCAAGTGTGTCTGTGGTGGAGTGAGCTGGGGGTGTGGGGGACGAGGCCAGGAAGAGCAGGACTGGCCACTCAGGCCTTGCAAGCTAAGGTCTCTGCCTCTGACTCTGAGTGACACGGAAGCTCCAGGTGCAGAATTTTTCATCTTCGGCTCTCCACTTAGTGATTTTGCTCTCGTTCTGTCTAGCCACACCTCCCTGAAGGTGCCACGTGCAGTCTTCTCAAGGCTGCTCAGTCTTCCTCAAGGTGCCACGTGCAGTCTTCTCAAGGCTGCTCAGTCTTCCTCAAGGTGCCACCTGCAGTCTTCTTCCCTGGTGATCCAAATGAACTGGATCACCAATTTATTTCACATATCATCATGCGCTGAACTCAGAATTGTCCAAACGGTATTTGTAGCTGAATATTTGTTCCCATAAAAACCGAAGGACAGGAGAAAGGAGCCGCTGATGGGCAGGGAGAGGTTGTGTGGGGAGCGGGTGTGGGGAGAGGGGAGGTGTGGGAGAGCCCCAGGGAAGCATAAAGAGAAAGCCGACTTGGGAACCAGCAAAGCCGACTTGGGAAAATCACTTGTCTGTTCTTTCAAGATGAAGTGAATCTGATGGGAAGCTGTAATGGAGACGGTTTATCAAATATAGAGAGGTCAGTAGCACAGGACTAAGAGTCTCTTTTAGATAAGTGTAGAGATGCATGGCTTTCTGCCACCTGAGGCAAAAGTTATGAATGGCGCCATGTGACATTCTATTCTGCTCTGCTGTCACGGGTCTGGGATGCCACCTGCCATCCCTCTCCCGATAGCTGTGTGTGTCCTGCCATACCTGCATGGGGCATTTCAGGTGTGACAGGAGCCCCATGGAAATATGGAGGCTTCTTCTCACTTATCTTGCGCAGACCTCTCTGGGCACCGACAGTTGGAAGTCCCATGGCCAGCGTCCACCAGTGATAACAGTTCATTAGGACTCAGAGTGCCGATCTTGTGTTAAGACCTCTTTTAGGTTGTGAGAAACAGAATAGACACCAGTTCCAAACCTGGCTTTGTGGCAGTTTGGGAAATGAATTGAAGAGGAGGCAACGAGAGGAGACAGCACAATTAGGAGGCAGTTATGCTGATGTGGGCAAAGACCATGAGTGTGAACCACGGCAGCTGCATTGGGCCTCTTGCTTCTCACACAGGCTTTCTCCGGGCAATATCAGCTTCCTGCATTTTACACAGGCCTCTGCTCAAAGGAGCTCTCTAACCACCTGTCTTCTTTGCTCTGTTATCGTGCCCTGCCCCCTTAAATAGTACTTATTCCTATCTGACATCATAGGAGGAATTTATGTATTATTGTCTGTATGTTTATCATTTGTCTTCCATTCCCAGAATGTAAGCAGGGGATCAGGAGCTTTGGTTATTTTTTTGTCTTTAATAAAATATATTATTGATTGTAGTCTGGGCAACCTAGGGAGACCCTGTCCCTATAAAAAATAAAATAATTAATCAGGCATAGTGGTGCGCACCTGTTGTCCCAGTGACTCTGGAGGCTGAAGTGGGAGGATCACTTGAGCCCAGGAGGTGGAGGCTGCAGAGAGCTGTAATATGCCACTGCACTTCAGCCTGGGCAATGGAGCAACACCTGTCAAAAAAAAAAAAAAAAAGACAGTGTTGATTTAATAACTACTGTGAGTCCAGGCCTTGATGGGATGGGAAGAGCCTGCAGCTGGAGTCTGGCCTGCTGCCCATCCTGCTCTGCCACTTCCCAGCTGTGCCTTTGGGCAGGTCATTTCACCCCTCCGACCCTCAAGGTCTTCACGAAAGTTGGATTCCTACTTCTTTTTTGAGGGAACTTTGTACATACACTACATTTCTAGTGTATGTATTGGATAACATACACTAGAAACCATCATTGTATGCTTAGAAACTAGAAAACAAAACCCACAGAATATGGGGGCTCTTTCCGTAAGATTGATGATGAAGGCCTTGTTAGCAACATTTTGTCACTTTGGTCTTGTTCAATTACTGGTTGCCCAAGTTCATCTGTGCTTCTCATCGATTTTTTTTTTTTAGTGTTTCTGAGCTACCATTAAAAAATTAGTATTTTTAAATTGTAAAATACACATACAATTTACCATATTGACCATTTTAAAGTATACAGTTCAGTGATTTAAAATATATTCATAATGTGCAAACATCAATACCATCCATCTCTAGAAGTCTTCCATCTTGTAAAATGGAAATTCTGTCCGTATTAAACAACTCCTTAGGGACTTTGTTTCATTCATTGTGGTATTCTTGGCATTCTGTATTTCCCATGCCGAGTAACTCTTTCAAATGCATCCTGAAGACACTTTGAATGTTCAAAGCTTCTTCTCACCCGCCTCCTTCCCCAGAGGCATCCAATCTACTTCTACTGAATACCTCTTGGTGAAGTCATCCTTTCTCTCTCAGGTCTTTACCCCCACCCCTAGGTTCCACTGTCATCACATCCTGTTTGCTTGGCTCCCAAGAAACAGTGTAGAACCAGGAGTTTATTGTGAAATCTTTTAATTGAAGGATTTAGGGGTGAAGGATTTGTCCCGGTTATACTTTGATGCTATGGCAAGAGCTGGTTTCCAGGCCTTGGGGACAGCTGCGTGGTCCAGAGAGAGAGCTCACTTGATAGAAGAGAGCTCACACCCTTTCCATTTGTTGATATTCTAATATGTTTGCTTGTACAGTCTTGTTTGATTATAGAAGCACTTTTTTTTTTTTTGGAGGCAAGAGTCTCGTTCTGTTGCCAAGGCTGAAGTGCAGTGGTGGGATCTTGGTTCACTGCAACCTTCACCTCCTGGGTTCAAGCAGTTCTCCTGCCTCAGCCTCCCAAGTAGCTGGGCTTACAGGTGTGTGCCACCACACCCAGATAAATTTTGTATTTTTAGTAGAGACAGGGTATCACCATTTTGGCCAGGCTGGTCTTGAACTCCTGACCTCAAGTGATCCACCCGCCTTGGCCTCCCAAAGTGCTGATATTACAGATGTGAGCCACTGCGCCCAGCAAAGAAGTACATATCTTCCCTTTAGGGTTTTCTGGCCTTGTCTTTATATTGAATCACCATATTCTCCTCTAATTGACAGAGCATATTTACTTACTCTTCTCAAGAAGGAAGAGTCATGCATGACTTTCATTATTCCCTTTTTAACTGCGGAAAGAAAGATGGAACCGCTACAGAACATTCTCTGTATTTACTACTGATGATGAGCTCTGAGTAATAATATTTTTTTGGGGAAAGGGAGAAGTGGCAATTTAATTATTATTTTTGGTGACAACTCTAAAATTTAATTCTGTTCTACTCAAGGTATTTAAAATAAGAAGCACAAGGCCCAGTGCGATGGCTCATGTCTGTAATCCCAGGACTTTGAGAGGTGGAGGTGGGCAGATCACAAGGCCAGGAGATCGAGACCATCCTGGCCAACATGGTGAAACCCTGTCTTTACTAAAAATACAAAAATTAGCTGGGTATGGTGGCACATCCCAGCTACTCAGGAGGCTGAGACACAAGAATCGCTTGATTCCAGGACGCGGAGGTCGCAGTGAGCTGAGATCATGCCACTGCACTCCAGCCTGGCCACAGAGGGAGATTCTGTCTCAAAAAAGAAAAAAAAAAGCACACAAGTTTACTTGTTCATGATGTAGCTTTTGAATTGCCTTAATAGATGTCGCTTTTTTTTTTGGTGGGGGGGGCTATGTTTATTATCTATAGCTATGAGAAACAAGCCAAAGGAACAGCCTGAGGTTTCCCAAAGCCTCTAAGCTTCACACGCTTTCAAATTACAAGGCAACTTTCCTTTTCGTGGGGCACTTTAATCAACTCTAAGACCGATGTTCCTGCTTTCAAGGAGCTTGCGGTTGCGATGGGAAGACATTCAGGCTACCAACAATATAGTATTGTCAAAATAAATTACAAATATTTGTAACATGTCATAGGATATATTTGTGTGTGTTCTGATCTTTGCCGCTGGCTCGCCTTCCTCCAGCAACCTGAGGCACTGATCCTACTTCCATGCCTCAAAAACCAAACACAGAACGAAACCATGGAAGACACCTGTGACCACCGCTTTCTCGGAAGCCACGATAGATCTTACTGGAGATGCTTCCATGGAATGAAAGTCATTAGAGTTGAAGGAGACAGAGGCCCTAGAAATGTCTAGTTCTGCATTTCGATGCACTGTTGAGCTCTAAAAGGGACCATGCACCTGTCCTCTAGATGTACGCCCTGAAGATACCCTTGCTGGGTTTGCCTTCCGGCAGAGGCTCCTCGGCAGGCGGGGCGGGGCCTGGTGGGGGAGTGGGGCGGGGCGGCTCCTTCGCTAACTGTCCGGATTGGGCGAGGAGGCCACCCCCTGGCGGGCGGGGCCCGGTGGGCGAATGGGGTGGGGCGGCTCCTTCGCTAACTCTCCGGATTGGGCAAGACGGATCCTGACTGGGCGGGGCCTGAATGGGCGCTCCCTGGAGGGCGGGAGAGGCGGGGTGTCTCCTCAGCTAACGGGGCCGGCGGGTGGGCGCGTGCCCGCGGGCAGCGCCTGCAGGGCCCCGAGTGGGCCGTGAGCGCGCCGCCCCCGCCCCCGCCCGCTCCTCCGCCGCCGCGGCTTCCTCTCGCGTTTCCCCCGAGCGCGGGCTGCTGCGTCCGGGGCTGCGCCATGCGGCTCCCGTCCTCTCGGCCCGCGCGGGGCCTGTGGGCGCGGCGGCGCCGGCCGTAAGCAGGCGCCTGCGTCCGGGGCGGGCGCGAGCCGCGGCTGGGGCGCCGCGATGGGGGAGAGGTAACGCGGGCCGGGGCCTGGCGGGCGCCGGGCGGGCGGGCGGTCTCCGCGGCCCGGCTGAGCGTGCCTTTGCTTTCCGCAGGTGGGTCCGGGTGACCGTGCTCTCCGGCTGCGTGGGCTGCAGGACCGTGGCGGCGCCGGCGTCCTGGACCGCGCGCGACGTGAAGGAGCGCATCTGCGCCGAGACCGGCTTCCCGGTGCCGGAGCAGCGGCTGTGGCACGGCGGCCGCGAGGTAGGCGGCGGCCGGGGGCGCGGGGCTGGGCTCCGGCGCGCGGGAGAACGGCGGGCGCGGCGCGCGGGCGACCTGGGCGTCGTGGCCGCCCGTGCCGGTCCCCAGCTGGGGCTTTTCATCCCTTGCTTGCCGTTTCCGCCTCCACCCCCCACCCCCAACCCTCCCACTTCGTCTGAATTTTCACTTTCTGAAACTCAAGGCAGTTTTTTGGTGGGCACTGGAGTCAGAAGTTTTTTTTTAGACCTCATCGTTGAAGTGACTTCATCATTACTCACTTTTTTCTATTTATGTAATGCGTTTCGGTGGAATGCTGTCAGTATCTTCACCTGTGCTGTCTTGGAAGTTCTTTCTCCATTTTTGGATACAGAAATTGGGCACTGAAAGAATCTTTAGAGATAATATGGAACCTATTATCTTAGGGAGTTATTAACACTTCTAAAGTGCAAATGACTTCAAGGTCAGAATTTTGGAAAACAAGAATATTTCATATTGTCATGTATTTTTTTTAAGTTTGGTAGAAACTGTATAGCTTTCTTGAAGGGGGAGTTTAATTGAAGACATCTTACAGTTAACTTTTAAAACAATTCTTTTATTCTAATGAACAACTACATATGATAACATCATTTCCAGCATTTAACAGAGTCACAAAGAGCTGAGCAAATAATTGAAGGAGTACTTGAGTGTATAGGATGACATTTCAAGTGTTGGGCTTCCTTACGACCTGATATAAATATTACTGATGAAGGAGTTCGTATCTGTGATTTTTCCTCCTTCAGTGTGATCTTGACCTCCTGTGTACCTGAGTCAGTTTTCTGGTCCCCTGCCCTCCTTGACACACTTTCATTATTTGTTTTCATGCTCCTTGGGCGATTGATCAGTCCTCCTGATCAGTTCCCCAAGGTGTTCATGGGCATGCAGACGTTGACTTAGTTGAAGGCTTTATTATTTATTTTTACTTTTTTAAAGAGTTCAGCTTTTTACTGAACATGCTGTAAAAGAGGTTGGGTCAAAAAGTCCAAAGCCATGTCGTCACCAGAGTCCTCAGATTCTTTGTGTCCATTTCCTTCTGCTCAGCTGGAGCAGCAGCAGCAGTGGAGGGACAGGACTGCCTGTGGATGAAGTACCAGCTGCTGGAGCAGGTCTTTCAGCCCCTACATTGCAGAGGAGGCTCCTGATGTTGACATTGGTTGGCCAGAGCCTCTGCAGGTCAGAAAGGTTTAGCATATCCCCCGACCGCTTTAATGTGGGCATTGATCTTAACTTGCATGACGGACACGTCATCCTAGTGTAGAATGAGGGCCCAGTGGAGTCTGCAAGTACAAGCACCGAGACAGAGGCATTGGAGTGCTGGGCTAGCGCAGCTGGGCCGGGTGCTAGTCACTGGATGAAGTGAGGGCCTCACCCCAGCATGGCCTTAGCTTCTTTGGAAGGAATGGACCCCTTGGTGGCAGTTGAGGAGAGGCTGATTGAGAACTTCAGACAGACTTGAGAAGGAGCAAAGGTTGTCATTCTTACTCCTTTCTTCATGCCTGTCCACGTCTCTTAACCTTCTCCTGGGTCTGTACCCACTTCCTTGGTTCCTCCTCTGGTGGTACTTGGTTATCTTGTTCCCTAGATGTGGTCAACTGAGCCTTTCCCCTCGAAAGTCTCGGCTGTGGCTCGCCTTGCCATTCGAAGTGTTTTTGCGGGTGTCTGTGCAAAGCATGGTTATGGGATGGTGAAAGCGGCAGGGTGTGTAGCGTTTGGGATTGGAGGCTGCGGGTAGACAGGGGTCTAAGTAGGATCCTTTTGTCTTGGTATGAGATCATGAGGTTCTGGACTGTAGCTGTGAAGGTGAAACCGAAGGAAAGGATCAACAAGAGACTTTGTAAAAGGCAAAATTGCCACAGTTTGGTCAGTTTAGTACCATATGGATGTGGAAGTGGAGGATGGGTGTAGAATAAGGTGGAAGGTCTTACCAACAATGTTGGCAAGTTTTGAGTCAGACCAGGAAAATAAGGGTTTAATCATTAGAGATAAGCACCTACAGAAGGAAGTGTGGTGACTAGTTTGCTTTTATATATAGTTCAGCTGTTGGTGAGGCGTAAAGAAGCAGCTAGGAAACGGCAGGAAATGGAGAGCTGGGCGCCTTACGTCCTACTTCCTGTCCTGCCTGTGTGTAGATAACAGACGCCAAATTAATTCATGTGTTGGGGCCTGATTTTTTATTTCTAATGTGAATGAGATGAAGCGAATTCTAACCAATCCTAAAGCCTCTGCTGGATAGTGATACTCAGTAGGCAGCTGCAAATCTGGAACTGCAACTCAAGGGAGAGAGGTCAGGCTGGAGATAGTAACTGATGCTGGGCAGGCACATGCTCCTTCTGTAATTTGGTAAAATTCGTTGAGATTATGCTTATCATTTATTGAGCCACTACGTTAGAGATACTGTTCTATGCATGAGGGATTTGTCTTGGAGTAGGTGTGCTGTGCCACTACTGTACAGTATAACATTAATTTTTTAAACTTTTTTTTCTCTCTTAGGGATTGGACTTTAATGTTTATAGTTTATTTTAGCCTAATTTGATTCTTGGTGCTTTTAGGGGTGAAGACTCTACATGAGTTCTTAGTTACAGAGAATCTTTGTGCACTGGCTTTCTCAGATGCTGGTTGTAGTAGTTTTGTACTTGGGATATGGGTAAATTCACTGTCTCCTATGGGGTTGGAATGGCAGGGATCTCTTAAAGCTTATCTTGTTTTCTTGTGGCATACACTTTATTTATTTAATTTTCTTCAGCATTTTTATTTACTTAGTTGGTGATTCAGGCTTCAGGCCTATAAGGGAGGTATCCCTGGGTAGGCACTGGTTGTGGCTAAGGCAGGTGGATAGATGCAATATCCAATGGGAGCAGAGGTCCCAGGCTAGAAGAAGGTGGCTGGGGGAGCCCTCATCTAGATGTACTGAGGTTTTATCAGGGTGAAGACTAGGAGCTACCTCAGCTCCCCTGCCAGGCCAGCAGGAAAGCTGTCTACCTCACGGCCTCACTCCTGTCCCAGTGTTCCAGTTATTCGGATCAGATAGGCACCTCTTTTCATCTGTAGGAATGTTGATGTTGCAAGTAGAGAGGAATTGTGACTCTGCCTCTCCTGCAGGCCTGAAACTGGGGTGTGTTTCCCCCTGTGAAGGTGCACTTACCATGGATTGTTCCAGGAAGGGTGTCTATAGGTGCATCCTCTGTCGCCCAGGGTGGAGTGCAAGGGGCATGATTGTAGCTCACTGCAGCCTCGAACTCCTGGGCTCATGCAGTCCTCCTGCCTCAGCCTCCTGAGTAGCTGGGAGTATTGGTATAAACCACTGTATCCAGCTAATTAATAAAACTTTTTTTAGGCAAGGTGTGGTGGCTCGTGCCTGTAATCCCAGCACTTTGGGAGACTGAGGCAGGCGAATCACGAGGTCAGGAGGTGGAGACCATTCTGGCTAACAGGGTGATACCCTGTCTTTACTAAAAATACAAAAATTAGCCGGATGTGGTGGCATGTGCTTGTAGTCTCAGCTGCTTGGAAGGCTGAGGCCGGAGAATCGCTTGAACCTGGGAGGTGGAGGTTGCAGTGAGCCAAGATTGCGAGACTCTGTCTCAAAAAAAAAAAAAACCAACTTTTTTTTTTTTTTTTTTTTTTTTTTAAATAGAGACAGCATCTGTGTCGTCCAGGCTGGGGCCTTCTTTTAATAATTATTTAACTAACAACAGAATGATCATTTATGATGATACCGTTCAACCAGATAACAAGAACAGTGTCAGTACTTACTCTGTACATCTTCTCCCCAGCCTGCATGCCTGTCTCTCTTCCCTTACCCCTTTGTGCTGATGATCCTTGTGCCTTTTTGGTAGTTTTAATAGTTCTATAAATGTGTGTATGATCATGTTTATACGGATATGTGTTATGTTTGTGCATATATGTTTGTATGTGTAGCCTGAGTATATAACCTAAACAACATGCTATTTACGTTTAGTTGTTTTTAAACTTTATAAGAAACATTCTGTATGTAGCAACTTAGAGTGAGCTTATCTTACGCAGTCATATTGTTATTCATCTAAATTTGTGTGTAGTTTAGAATTCATTTTTAATTGGTCTATAATAGTCATTTATATGTCACAGAATTTGGGTTGTTTCTAAATTTTTGTTGTGAACAATGGTCCTCCTGTCTTTTTTTCTGTTTGCCGAAGTACCTGTGCAACAAAGAGTCAACTCGATTTTATAGGCTTGCTTTAAGGTTTAGTGGGAATATGTGCCTGAAAGTGCTTTATAAGCTGGGACCTGTAACAGCCTACTCAGCTTTGTGTTTTAGAGATGGGGACTAGAATGAAGATGATGTACAGAAAGTAAGAAGACCAGATGGGGAGTTGTTATAAAAATCCAAGAGACATTAAGAGTCTGTACATCTGGATATTGTGAAGAGCAAGTTAGATTTGAGAGAGACTGGAGGATGGACATGCCGGGATCCAGAGATTAACTGGACATGTGGTTTGGAGGGAGAGACACATTTTTTTCTATCCTTTCTCTGTCCTAGCTGAAATGTCTAGGTAGATGGTGACACTATTAACTGAGATACAAAAGAGACAGGAGATAATGTATTGGAAGGAAAGTGAGTGAGTTCACCTTTTGACAGGTTGAGCTTTAGAACGTTGGAGGGCATCAGTGTGAGAATGTGGTGGACAGTCAAAAGTATTGAATTTTGAAATGCTAAGGGATGGCCTTCACACCCTGCCAGGGAAGGGTCAATTAGGAAGGTCGTCCTTCTAGTGAGCTTTTGAATCATGTTTTGCAGATTGTTGACCTGTGAGAGGTCACTCTGTAGGAACACTGAGGGAGGGACCCTGATGGGGAAAAGGTTGATCTGGCTTCAGATTATTTATGTTATTTTTCCAAAAAAAATCACTCTGTTATACTGCTCCTGTGGGTTACGGTAACACATGTTGCACCCTGCCTTTATGAGAAACAGAAGAATTACCAAAAAGAAAGCAAACCTCAAGGCATTTTTCAGGAAAGTTACAGACCAAAGCAGCTCAGGCCGGGAAGCCTCATTCTTCCCTTTATTCTGCATCACTCTTTTTGTTTTTGTTTTTTCCCAAAATATGTCTAGGAATACTTAACAGTGTTTTCCAAAATATGTCTAGGAATACTTTCCCATAGGGTGTTCTTTCATAATAAAGAAAAAAAACTTCTGCTAAAATTTGGGAAATACTATTTAGTATTAATTGTTTCTAAGAGAGTTACCATATGTATGAATATGTTAAGTTTCCTGAAAACCAAATTATTCCAACTAATTTAAAAACAGAATTCTTTTTGGTCCTCTAATATGTGTTAAGATCTCATGAAGCCTTGTTATTAGCAGTACACTTTGGAAATGTTGATCAGAAGAATGATTTTGTTTATGTTAATGATCCTGGTTTATCATTTAAAAATTTAAATTGTGTTAATGGAGAAATATATTTATTTGTATCTATTTGTAATCACTTAGGAAAAATCTTTTAATCCCTTACATTTTTAAATAAAGTTTTTTACTAAGTCTTTTTACTAAATCTCTGTTCTCTGGAATATTCACTTCTCCAGAGAACTTACTTTCTGATAAGAAGATATAACAAGCATTACTTAAGTGGAAAAGTTTGATAGAATGTTTTGAATTTATAGTATTAGAGACTGTATTGTTTTTCTTAAATCTTCTTTTCTTTTTTTCAGTTATCTGACTGGATCAAGATTGGAGATCTGACTTCTAAAAATTGTCATCTTTTTGTAAACCTTCAATCAAAAGGCTTAAAAGGGGGAGGTAAAATACTGACTTCACCAGAAGTATATGCCATGCTGTGCTGCATAAAGATTGAGTTTGTTAGTTTTTTGAGACTGAGTCTTGCTCTATCACCCTGGCTTGAGTGCAGTGCGCAGTCACGGCTCACTGCAACCTCTGCCTCCTGGGTTCAGGTGATTCTTGTGCCTCAGCCTTTGTTCAAGTAATTCTCGTGCCTCAGTCTCCCGAGTAGCTGGAGTTACAGGTGCCTGCCACCATGCCCAGCTGCTTTTTGTATTTTTAGTAGAGATAGAGTTTCACCATGTTGGCCAGGCTGGTCTCAAATTCCTGACCTCAAATGATCCACCTGATTCGGACTCCTGATGTGCTGGGATTACAGGCATGAACCACCACTCCTGGCCAAGATTGAGTTTTAACAAAGAAGCAGGGAGTAGAATGGTGGTTGCCAGAGGGTAGGGGGAGGGAGAAATGGGGAGGCATGTGTCAAGGGTACAAAGTTTGCTGTACGAATAAGATCTGGAGATCTACTATACAATACAGGGCCTGTGAGTAACAGTACTGTATTGTGTAGTTTAAAACTTGCTAAGAGGGTAGCTCTGATGTTAAGTGCTCTTACCATAAAAGTTTAAGAAAGCCCAACAGAGGAGATGGGAGGAAACTTTTGGAGATGATGGAAAAGTTTATGGTGCTGACAATGATAGTTTGATGGTTTCATGGTACATACTTATCTCCAAATGCATCAAGTTACAAAAGAAGTATCTACAGCACTTTTAGGTCAGTTGTACTCAATAAAGCTGTTTTAAAAAAGATTGTTTTAAAAATGAAAGGATACACCATTGGGATGCAGTGAGGGGATGTCAGGGCAAGAGGAAGAGAAGCACGGATGGAGCTAGTTGAGTTATAAGAATGAGTGGGATAGAAGTCTGTGGAAGCAGAGTCTTGTTTGACCTTGGCCTGAGTGCATGGTTGTACCGAAATGATGCAAATAAATTTATAGTGACAATTTTGCTTTTTAAAGCAGAGATTTCTTTTTACTGATAAACAGATTTTGAAATGCTGTGTGTCTGAGGCATTACTTCCCTTTTTCTCATTCTTCCTACAGCCTCCTGTCACCTCTCTGAAGGTGGCCCGGTCGGTTGGTGTAAGAATGTCTAGTTTAGGCAAGGCTTGATGGTACTTGAAGTGGAGAGCCATTGAGACAGTGACTGCTGAATTTTACAATAATCAGAACTCTGGCTGAATTTGAGAATATTAAGAATATGATAATAGACACCACTATGTCTGGCTTATTATTTGTGGCAAAGAGCCACAAACTAAAACCATTTATTTTATTTGCTTTGGAAAATAGCAACACTCAGAAGAATCAGTGCTCTGGTTGAATTTGAGAATATTAAGAATGCGATAATAGGGACCACTATCTCTGGCTTATTATTTGTGGCAAAGAGCCACAAAATAACACCATTAATTTTGTTTGCTTTGGAAAATAGTAACACTCCTCCCCACTGCACCATGCTCTTTGTTTTTGGATTAATAGTAGTTATTATATTTTTGAACATTTTTTGAATGCTTATTTATAGTCCAGTTTAAAAATCTTAAGATTTGATAAAATTGAATTTGCTTTGCTTTCTGCCGAATTGCTTAGTCAGGTAGATTTCTGTACCAGAGTGCTGCAGTGAGATACATGCAGCTGTATCTTGTATAGTTATACTATATCTCGATTCAATTCACGGATCGGTGGCAGGTCATGGGATTTTTTTCTAACTCATTTAAAATGTGTTCGGTATTTTAGGTCGATTTGGTCAGACAACTCCACCACTTGTTGATTTTCTCAAGGACATTTTGAGAAGATACCCAGAAGGAGGACAGATTCTTAAGGTGGGGCACCTGTTGTATTTCTGTGTGATTTACTTTGATAAAAATGAGATGAAGTAAATTTATTTAAAAGTCCTGTTAGTGTTTAAATTTTTAAAGTGTTGTCTAGATTTGAATGGCTGTATTATACCTCTGTGGCTACAGTATCTATCAGTGCATAGTTCCGTTTGAGAATGGAGTTGGAATAAATATGTGAGGTTTCTGAGGCAGAGAAACACATTACGCTACTGGGTGCTGTAATCAACAGTGTCACTCCGGGAATGTTCTGTGTAGAACATTGTGCAGGCTGTTACACGTCAACCAACCAGCCAGCCAACCAGCCAAATACATTCTACAGTTAGAGGGGCTTGATGAATGCATGCCCATTGGACTCCTGATTTTAGAGGTTTGCTTTTTTGGGAGGGCTTATTTAATAGGATCATTATTTTATTATTTCCTTTTGTAATATGGTTTTTAGTTTGATTATACTCTTTACAAAACAGGCCAGTCTTGGTGGCTTACACCTGTAATCCCAGCACTTTGGGAGGCCAAGACGGGCAGATCACCTGAGGTCGGGAGTTCGAGACTAGCCTGGCCAACATGGCGAAACTCTGTCTTTACTAAAAGTATAAAAATTAGCAGGGTGTGGTGGTGGGCATCCATAATCCTAGCTACTCAGGAGGCTGAGGCAGGAGAATCGCTTGAACCCAGGAGGCAGAGGTTGCAGTGAGCTAAGATTGTACTGCTGCACTCCAGCCTGAGCGACAAGAGTGAGAATCCGTCTCAGAAAAACAAACAAACAAAAAACAAAAGAAAAACCAGTAACCATAGAAGAAAGCAATAATAGAAGATACTGCAAAAATTAGATTTTGTGTTTAATAAGAAACCCCCTTAATTGTCAAAGTGGATTAGTTAATGCGTTTTCCTTCTCATTAGCTTGTTGAGTGTTTATTACCTTCAGTATCTTGGCCCTGATTATGTTTTCTAGTTTAGATTGTAAACTGTTAGGGAATCAGGACTGGGTCTCTTTAGAGAGTCATGCTCAGGTAGGCACTCACTGAGGACTGTTGTGTCTTTAGTGATTGTGGTAAGATTGGGCTGTTGAAGCGGTTGCAGTCCATCTTTCAGCATAGGCACCAGTGGTTCACAGAAAGCACATTTGAAAACTGTTTTTGTATTGACTTATTAGGAAAGTGAGGATGGAAAGAATATTGCCTGAGGTGGTTTTGGGGTAGAAAGAAGTGAATAGAATAGATTTAAAATGAAGGTGTAGTGGTAAAAGGAGTAGGGTGTCCTCTGTTCATAAGTGATGGGTGGGATCCTTGCTGAGAAATGAGGAAGGTCTATGGCAAACAGCTGAGGGCTACAACTTCCACTTTGCGTGTTGTAGATACATTTATATTGTAGCCAGCTCAATGTCATCTTTGTTCCTTGGATGTTTTAGTAAATTTGACTGTTTTAGATTTAATAGGAGTCTTAGAAATCACCAAGACCTACACCATTACCTTCTACGTTGTTTGTGTTTGCGAAAACAGGTCCCAAAGATCTTAGTGACTTGCCCAAGAGCAAATACAAAATGTATTGTTGCTGCTTCTCAGAGTTAGTGTTCAATCTCTGAGGATTACAGTTCAGGGGAAGAGATTCCCATCCTGTTTTTGTTCCACTTGAGAATGATTGGAACCTGGGACTTGGGATTTCGTCTTTAGTTTTCTGCCTCTCTACTCCCTAAACCACACATAAATCACAAATAGATACCTGAATGAAAACAAGGTCGAACATCTAAAGTACTATCATTTTGTAAGTTAACAGTGTGTTTTACTATCTATTTGATTCTTGTTTCCATCCTTCATATTATAATATTCAAATGTAAATAAGATTGTTAACTTTTAGGGATTCTCTGGGATTGAATGAGGTCTAAACAATTAAAAACCTCATGAGAAATAGTTATGTAATAAGGAGGAATCAGTAGCTGCTAATGAGGCTGCAGGAGGCATGGCCTAGCGGTTCATGTTTCGGGTGGAATAGCTAATGGGTACCACACTAGCCCTTCGGGAGGTACTGGGTGAACTGAACACAATCTCAACACTGGCTTTTCACTTCTGCTCCTTCAGTCTTCTTGTGGTTGTTTCATTTCATGTGGACATTGTCTCACACTCTCTCCTCTGATGTAGGCATCACTGTTAACATTGCTGTAGTATCAGTTAAAGCTGTCTTCAGTTATTGCCCATCTCTATCTCCAATTTAGTGATCCCAAGGTTCTGGGGAAGTAAAAAAGCTCTTTTGATGATCATGGGGTTGGATCTTGGAGCTGAATCTTGTTTCAGATTCTGGAGCTCCCTTCAAACTGGTCAGAGCCGAGCGTGATGTTGGTAGGTGTGCAGAAGTGATTGGGGTTGTTAGGATTGGAAATTTTGCTGAGGCAAATCTTGCAGTTTGCCCTTTCCTTTCTATATTACAGGGACCTGGTCACCCTTCTACTCACCCACCATTCACCAAACAAATGGTAGTGCTTTCTTCTTCATGAAAGTAATGAGTCAGTCCTGACCATCAGGAAGCTTTCAGCTTAGTGCAGGACAAAAACATGTTCATATCTCAGGCTCTCTAGAAAGCAAGGGTACATGCAGATTGCCGTTACTTGGTTTTATTGTTTCCCTAAGAAAAGGTAAGTTTGGTAAGCAAATGATAAAAAAAAAAAAAGGTCTATTTTTGGCAACCACTCAGGCTTGAGTTACCTGCCACACAGGACAGTATGTACAGCTTTTGGAAGTAGAGTAATTTCCTTTGAACAAAAGCTTTGGATAGATTGTAAAAATGAGACGGTTATAAATAGGGCCCAGGATTAATTTGCTAAGTGATAGCAAATTAAGACAATCTCTAAGTGCAAATAATTGGAGAAGGACTTTTCAATCATAATGTCCCATGTATGTAACAATTACTTTCAGTAGTAACCTCACCAGATCTTAAAGATAATGTTGTAAATAGTGGGTTTCCTTTATTTAAGTATATTGACTTTTTAATAAATAAAAAGATGGGCAGTAGATTACTATGTTATTAATTACTATTTTTTGGTATATTTTATGGTTAGGAATTAATTCAGAATGCAGAAGATGCTGGGGCCACAGAAGTTAAATTTTTATATGATGAAACTCAATATGGAACAGAGACTCTTTGGTCAAAAGATATGGCACCATATCAGGGTAAGAATCAGTAATTAGGAACAAGTTTTATTGTATGCACTAACAGGCAGTTTTTAATGATTTCGAATACTTTGTTTAACGAACAGTTTAATGATCATTTGTACTTTTTGGCATGTTTATTTCCAATTCTTCAGATGTTTTTTTTTCTGCTTCTGGTGGGAAGGTATCTCTGCCAGTTGGTATTTTTAGAGAACAAAGAATAAAATCTGAAAACTCAAAACAAAATGACAAGCAGTGTAATGACCAAAGCCTCTTATTCTATTCAAACTACTTGTATTTTATATTATCAGTAGGATAAAGGGACACCATTTGTGTATACTAACACTTTCCTGCACTTGGGAAGATGTTATGAGAGGCCATGCTTTTGTGTATTTTCGTTTTAGCAGTACCCTTGACACTGTTTTGAAGTTGGTGGGAAGAAAGATCGAAGGAGAGGAGAGAACAAGGAAAATGACAGGAAAGATGATAAAGCCATAAACTAATAAATTACTGATTGAATAAAAGAATCATAACCAATAGACTCCTAATCTCTCACTTCTACTCTGGGGAACTTTATGTCAAAAAGAATGTTCATAAATTTTAATGTACTTCTGGTTGGTTATGATTGCACCCACCTGTAATCCTAGCACTTTGGGAGGCTGAGGCAGGCGGATCACCTGAGGTCAGGAGTTCGAAACCAGCCTGGCCAACATGGCAAAAACCCATCTCTACTAAAAATACAAAGATTAGTCACATGTAGTGGTGGGCGCCTGTAATCCCAGCTAGTTGGGAGGCTGAGGCTGGAGAATTGCTTGAACCTGGGAGGTGGAGGTTGCGGTCAGCCGAAATTGTGCCACTTCACTCCAGCTGAGGCAAAAGAGTGAAACTCCATCTCAAAAAAATAAAAAGTAAAAAAAATTTAGTGTACCTCTGAAGTCATTGTGAATGACTGTGTGACAGAAAGTTACTGAGAAAAAGTGGGATCAGTTCAGACTTTCTGAGACAGCTTTTTACAGAGATGTAAGTCATGTATTTTTAAAGAGATGTTTTATGATTTAGGAGTTAACATTGTTAATTAAAAATATAGCATATGTTATGTCTCATATAGTCATTCTTAGCTCACATTCATCATTTGAAAGTTGTGCTTTCTATATTCTATGAAAAAGAGGTGCGTGGGACATAACATCAAGAGGTGTGTGTTCTGGTCCTGACTGCTGCTACCTTAGTGATGGAGGTCATCACAGAGGTCAGATCATTTTTATAATAAGAGGATTAACTTGCAAGGTATCTTGTCTCTAAGAGCCTATGACTTAATGTAACATTGGATTCACGGGACTTCAGGTTAAGTCCTGATCCTACATAGTACTACCCTGTTGTATAGCCCCAAAGGCACTGGTGCACTCAGTGGCAAGTTCTGACCCCCATACTGACTTACTGCTTGCCTGTAAGTTGTATAAGAAAATTTTTCTCCCAGGTATTTTGAGGATTATATGAGATCATATATGTGATAATGTTTTATGCCTGGTGTCCTACTGATGATGGTATGTGCTGTAGTAAAAGTAACAGTGTAAGGAGATCCTACGATTTTTTTGCTTCTAGCCTTGACTTCACCTTGTTTTAAAAAACATTTGAAACTAGATAATTTTGCTGAGTTATGCTGAAGTATATTTAGAGATAGGCTTTTCAAAAGTGGCCAATTTAAAATAGATATGGTCTGGACATGGTGGCTCACGCCTGTAATCCCAGCACTTTGGGAGGCTGAGGTGGGCAGATCACCTGAGGTCAGGCATGTGAGACCAGCCTGGCCAATATGATGAAACCCCATCTCTACTAAAAATACAAAAATTAGACAGATGTGGTGACGGGCACCTGTAATCCCAGCTACGTGGGAGGCTGAGGTGGGAGAATTGCTTGAGCCTGGGAGGCAAAGGTTGCAGTGAGCCAAGATTGCACCGTTACACTCCAGCCTGGGCAACAAGAATGAAACTCTGTCTCAAAAATAAATACATAAATAAATAAAAAATAAAATAAATGTGGGCCAGGCACAGTGGACTTATGCCTGTAATCCCAGCACTTTGGGAGGCCGAGGCAGGTGGATCACCTGAGGTCAGGAGTTCGAAACCAGCCTGGCCAATGTGTTGAAATCCTGTCTCTACTGAAAATACAAAAATTAGATGGGCGTGGTGATGATGCACACTTGTAATCCCAGCTACTCGGGAAGCCAAGGCAGGAGAATTACTTGAACCTGGGAGGCGGATGTTGCAGTGACCTGAGATCTCACCCCTGCACTCCAGCCTGGGTAACAGAGTGAGACTCTGTCTTAAAAAAAAAATGTGGATATATTATATAAAAGGTGGCAGCGATCTTTGATCTCTCTATTTAACAGACATTTAATGGAGAGCCCACCAGGCTCTTATGTATTTGAGAATGTCCTTTCTTTTGCACTCAGATGTGAGCAGTCATCTTGTATCAGGGCTTTTTTCCTTTACTGGCACTTCGTTTTACAGCCAAAAACTCTTAAGGCCAACTTTTTTTGTTCGTGTTTATATAATGAGATAATAAAAGGCTCAGATTGTCAAATCACGTGCACAAGGATGAGAGCTCTCACTCAGTATGACACACTTTACTAAGGATTTCAAGGACATGGCTGATTACAAGACACAGGTGAAGGAAGCATGGAGAGTCCCTTTGTGCTACACTAGGGCACACCTTGGCCTGGATCTCACGGAGCTGGTTTCTGAGTGATGCACACAGACCACCCCTGAACACAACGGGAGCTATTTCAGTCATAAAACATGTACATTATTTTCTCTGATAATCAGTATAACTTACAACATTTTCGAGGGGATTATGCCTCATAAATGTTGAATTCCAAGCTTATTTCCAATAAGCAACCTTCGTAAAGTATCCAGTAGCTAAGGACTCTCTTCCTAGTAAACACTGTGTGTGTGCTTGCCTAGAGGTCTGTCATCAGCATGTTTACAATGAGATTTGGCTGGGTCATCTCTTTCTTTCTTGGGTATTCCCTGGAGAAAGGGGGAAAGTAGACTGCAGGCCTGGTGCCAGCCCTTTCCTTCCCAGACAGCCTTTTTATTTTTCTCTCAGGATATTTATTCCTTCCCACCCCGCCCAGACAGACGGAGGTTTGCTCTTGTTGCCCAGGCTGGAGTGCAGTGGTGTGATCTTGGCTCTCTGCAACCTCCACCTCGCGGTTCAAGCGATTTTCCTGCCTAAGCCTCCTGAGTAGCTGGGATTACACATGCCCACCACCATGCCCAGCTAACTTTTTGTTTTTAGTAGTGACGGGGTTTCGCCATGTTGGACAGTCTGGTCCCAAACTCCTGACCTCAGGTGTTCCACCCTCCTCGGCCTCCTAAAGTGCTGGGATTACACTCATGAGCCTCCACGCCCGGCCAGAATGTTTGTTCCTTTCTTATCTCACTTTTAGAACCAAGAACATATCGTTTTGGTCAGAGTAGATACAGGCTATTTTAAAATTGATCTTGATAATAGAAGCAGAGAGTGAACCTGTGAGACTGAGTTGATTAGAGCAAAGGCAAAATACTGCATCTCTCCTAATTCCAGGATGAATATGATCAGAATTATACCTTGATTAAAAACATTAAATGATAACTAGCTTCTTCCTGACTTCTCTAAGTTCTCTACTGAGGAGGGCTGTCTGTGTGCACTGTATGGTTCTGCCACTGAGCACCCAGGGTGTAAGGAAAGCTCCAGGTCCCAGAGCACAGGACAGCTGCACTCATATATATATCCTCTTCGCAGGAGTTGCACTGAGGTTGTAGGATGAGAGATAGCAGTTCTGACAGTCAAAAAACCTTGGAGAGTGGGAGCTCATGCCTGTAATCCCAGCACTTTGGGAGGCCGAGGTGGGTGGATCATCTGAGGTGAGGAGTTCGAGACCAGCCTAACCAACATGGTGAAACCCCATCTCTACTAAAAATACAAAAATTAGGCAGGCGTGTTGGTGTGCGACTGTAGTCCCAGCTACTTGGGAGGCAGAGACGGGAGAATTGCTTGAACCCAGGAGGTGGAGGTTGCAGTGAGCTGAGATCATGTCATTGCACTCCAGCCTGGGCGACAGAGTGAGACTCTGTCCACAAAAAAGAAAAAAAAAAGCCTTGAAGATTGGGGATCTGAGGGGGATTTTTTTTTTTTTTTTTTGATGCAAAACACTTAGTTATTTGCATTTGTTAAGATAAGGGCCTAGGATTTTGGAATTTAACAAATGCTTTCTATAAGCAGGCAGTAAGGGGTCAGCTCTCCAGTATTCCAGTTGACAGTGGGAAGGAAGGTAGGTGTTCCTTCAGGCAGGCAGACTGTGTTCCTGGTAATGTCATGTGGGTGTGTCCCCTGCTGAATTTTTAAAATTTGCCTCCACAGACCCTGTAGTTATTCAGATTCTTTTGAGATTCTGGCAAGAGGTTCATTTTCGAGCCTGGTGTTCAGTGTTGGGACTTTTTGTGGTCCTTTTTTTTTTTTTTTCTGTCTTTGTAGATACTTTTAATGGACATTTGGAACCAGACACTGCTTGCTAGATGCCATTTTAAGTTAGCTGTTGGGTAGGAACAAAATATTTACTTTATTACTATTCCTGTAATATTTATATAAAATTATATGTTACATCACATGTAGACTGACAGTATCATTTACTCATAATGATTATAACAACAGTAATGGTAGCAGATTGTTTTTTTTTTTTTTTTTTTTGAGACGGAGTTTCGCTCTTGTTACCCAGGCTGGAGTGCAATGGCGCGATCTCAGCTCACCGCAACCTCCGCCTCCTGGGTTCAGGCAATTCTCCTGCCTCAGCCTCCTGAGTAGCTCGGATTACAGGCACGCGCCACCATGCCCAGCTACTTTTTTGTATTTTTAGTAGAGACGGGGTTTCACCATATTGACCAGGATGTTTTTAGGGTCTGCTCTGCTGGGCTCTGGGCTGAGCCCCGTATTTGTGCTGTCTCATTGGGTCATCAGCACTCTTGCAGTGGACAGCCATTCTTGTCCTTGTGCAGGTGAGGAAGCAGCCTTGATGGCTTTAGTTTCTGGAAGTGCTGTAGCTGTGACTGGAGAGCTGGGCCTGACATCCTGACACCAGAGTCCCTACTCTACTTTGTGACTGTCCTTTCCAGAAAGCCTTTGCAGCCTTGACTGTTTGCATATTTCAGCTTTGTCTATTTTAAAAATAGTAATCATGCCATTTTTGTAAAACAAACTAGGTCTCATCCCCATGTCTGTCCTTGAATTGATGGGAGCATGAGGAGAGGCTTCTGGGGGTGCTGGGAGTGCCCTATATACCTCATGTGAGTGGAGATGACACAGGTTCATCTGCTTTGTAGGAATTCCTCAAGCTGCATCCTCAAGATCGTCATACTTTATTGTATATGTATTATACTTCAGTACCTTTTTGAATGAAAAATAGTAATCATCTTTAAAGTATGATGAGCGAATATAGTTGGATATATTAAAAGAATGTTAGAGATTCTGAAGATCGGCCTCACAAAATGGAATTTCAAACATATTTTGTGCAGAAATATTTTATAAATACTACTTTCTGAAGGAATTACTTTGGAGATGGGTGATATTTTACGTAGATAGGTGATATAATTGTGGTATTATTTAAACATTTGTCATGTTAATGGTTTTAAAAATCATACAAGAAATGCCTTGTATAGAAAAATCTAGAGGCTGATGAAAAAACAAAACTGCAAACACTTATAAGGTGATTATTAATCTTACTAAAGGATTATTTTTCATATTATGAAATAATAAGATTTGTTTATTTATTTTATTTTTTTGTTTTTTTGAGGCAGAGAACCTCTGCCTCCCAGGTTCAAGTGATTCTCCTGCCTCAGCCTTTAGAGTAGCTGGGATTACAGGCATGCGCCACCTTGCCTGGCTAATTTTGTATTTTTAGTAGAGACAGGGTTTCTCCATGTTCGTCAGGCTGGTCTTGAACTTCTGACCTCAGGTGATCTGCCCGCCTCAGCATCCCAAAGTGCTGGATTACAGGCATGAGCCACTGCGCCTTTCTGATTTCTTTATTTTTTAAAATAAGTTATATTGTGTATATTTAAGGCATACAACATGTTATTTGATACGTGTGTGTGTGTATGGTAAAGTGGTTCTGTATATATTGAAACAAATTAACATATCATCTCACATAGTTTCTTTAGATAGCAAGTCTCCATAATATATTCCTTTTTCTTTCTTTTTTTTTTTTTTTTTTAACTGAGACAGAATCTTGCTCTCATCTAGGCTGGAGTACAGTGTTGCTACCTCGGTTCACTGAAGCCTCTGGCTCCCGGCTTAAAGCAGTTCTCCTGCGAGTAGCTGAGATTACAGGTGCATGCTATGGTGCCTGGCTAATTTTTTATATTTTTTAGTAGAGATGGGGTTTCACCGTGTTGGCTAGGCTGGTCTCGAACTCCTGACATCAGGTGATCTACATGCCTCAGCCTACCAGAGTGCTGGGATGCTGGGATTACAGGCGTGAGCCATCGCACCCTGCCCATATTTTAATATATTTTATGAAATATATGAAATATTTTATACTTATTTGTTAAATATTTTCCATTTACCAAAAAAAAGATTTAAATATACTATTTAGAACAAATTTCACATAGAGTAGTAACTGACTGATTTTCTTGTTTGCCTTATGTTTTTGGGTAGCTGAGGAACTTTTAATTTTTCTTTTTTGGATTTTTGGCCAACAATACTATATTTCTTCTGCTGCTAATTTTTGCCTCAGTGTGTCTCTTAAATTTTACTGTAAAAACACTTAGAATTATAGTGTGGAATTCAGTGACTCGATTCACTCCTCTCTATATTCCCTTCAAATAAGAGATTTTGTATAGAGGAACTTTTGAGATAGAACGGAACACCCTGGTGTCTTTCTGAATACCTGCCGGTGCATTTTCACACCTAGGGCCAGCTCTGTATGTATACAACAACGCGGTTTTCACCCCAGAGGACTGGCATGGCATTCAAGAAATAGCAAGAAGCAGGAAAAAGGATGACCCTCTGAAGGTTGGAAGATTTGGAATTGGGTTTAATTCTGTCTATCATATCACAGGTAGAGTATTAGGCTTTTCAGTCTTGGTATTAGAAAATATTTTATCCTCCATTCTGTAATATATTTGGTTAATTTCAGACGTGATACTCTTTAAATGACAAATTCTTCTGTCAGTAGCAGGAGGTATGTCAATTAAATATCAGTGCATGTTGAATTTTCTGAAATTACCATGGTAACTGTACCAAAGTTTTACTTCATCATGTGATGCCAAAAGTTAACATTTTCATGATCTAGTGGAATCAGTGTAATATATTAAGTCATTTGATGTGAAATTTGAAATGTAGCTTTTGAACATGAAGTTTTTACTCTGAAAAATTTCAAAACTGCAACTCTTTAAGAGTCAAACAAACTGAGTATCACAGATCTTCATGTACATGTTTCTAAATATCAGAAGGTTAAAGAGGAAGGCATAATATCTAATGGTATTGAGTAACAAAGTTAAAATCTTTGAGGTGGTTCTGGTATCTCTTATTCTCCTCTCATTCTACTCTTCTTAGACTTAAAAGCATTCTAAAGATTACTTTGAAGTCGTATTTTTAATGTGACTTCATAGAAAGAATATGAGGTTTCTGGTTCCTAGTTATAATAGGAAATACTTAGGTATCTGTAAAAGTATATGGCTGTTGTAGAATGAAAGTTCTTAGTACTTACTATAGTTTTGCAATACAAATTTTTGTAATGGAATTGGTCCTTTTGTTTAGTTTCAAACTGTGTCTTGCAGGAGAAGGAAGATTGCACAGGCAGGGCTATCACTGTAGCCAAGATGACCATATACTTTATTATTCATACTGGGACACGTGTGAGAGTGAAAGAGGGTGGTGCTGTTTTCTGACAACTGGCCTGAATTGGGACTGCCTTGGGCAAGCGGGAAGTAGGGTCATTCCAACTGTAGCCAAATTTTAGTAAGCCTGTTGCATTTATATTCATATGCATATATTATATAAAATAATATTGACTGATTTATAAATAGTATAATAAAATTAAATTCTGTATTAAAATATGACTATTATTTATGAATATCAATACTCAGTGTGTCCACCTCTTTGCAGGTTATCCCTCAGGTCTGTGCCATGTAGTGGTTTGTAAATGTTGTGGGGCGACACAGATGTGAGTAGCAAAAGTTGGAGGCTTAAGCAGGAATGACCTGTGGTGTTAGAGCCCAACCGATTGCCCAGCACCTGTGTGGTTTTGATTGCTAGTTTAGAATAAGCACAGTTGTATGGAACATTAATGGAGGACTGTTCTCTAAACTGAGGATTTGAGAAGGTCATAGGTCATGCTTATATCTTGTCAGGAAGCCTCCTGGCCTGATTTCATTCATGAGGGTACGACCCTACACCTTGGGAGCAGGAGTGAGTGTTCCCTAGACCCCAGTGTTGATGGATTTAGCCACGTGGTTGGTGGACATGACATTTGCTGACTTAAGATACTCAGGAGCTTAGGAGTTGGTATTGGTGACAGCTGAAGCTGTGCTTGAAGACCGTAGGTATTAAAGATTGACTTCACTGGAGTTGAATCTTGCAGGAAGCTGAAGTGCTAAGTCAGCATGTGAAACAAACATATGTCACATCACCCTTGGGAGATCGTCACCAAAGCACACTGGGGAGGAATTTCTCTCATCACTGTGGGTCTCACACATCTGGTTTTTCTGCCAGTTTTGGAATACTACTCTGTCTTTGGTTGAGGAACAGGTGAAGCAGTTGGTATCAATTTAGAGGCGGTGTTATACAAACGATGGGTATCTTTCAATATTGTAATTAGGCTCCATGTGGTAAGATGCTCCCAGCACAAGAATTGAGGCAGAGGCAGAGAGGTTAAGACCACTTGAGGGAATGCATCTCATGAGCTTCAGGGCAGGCGCTCACTGAGCAACACAGTGGGCAGAGTCGCCTGCGTTGTACTCCTCACTCTTTCTTTTCAGAGTCTATGCTGAATTTGTAAAGCTGAGCATAGGATGTAGCCCTGTTTTGTTGAATTGGGCTCACGTGGTGGGGGCCAATTCAAATACTCTGCTCATCTTTCGTGTAATGATTTTTGAAGATGTATCCTAGGTTTTCACAATTGTTTTACAAAGTGTCTATGCCTGGCATTTGTTACTGGATTGAATCAAAAGAGAAATCATTTTTCATGTTTGGAGAATTACATTTCCAAAGGTAAATTAAGTTTGTGTTTCGATAAATCTCTTTTGGAGTCATTTTATGGCACATGCTTTTTCAGATGTCATCTTTTGATGATAATTATGCTTATTTATTATAATTGTAATCATAGTTGTCCCTAAAATTTCATGACTTAAATTTTTCTTTACAGATGTTCCTTGTATCTTTAGTGGTGACCAGATTGGGATGCTAGATCCTCATCAAACACTTTTTGGCCCACATGAATCAGGCCAGTGTTGGAATCTCAAAGATGACAGCAAAGAAATTAGTGAACTTTCAGACCAATTTGCACCATTTATTGGCATTTTTGGAAGCACCAAGGAAACGTTTATGAATGGCAATTTTCCAGGAACATTTTTCCGTTTCCCTCTTCGCCTACAACCTTCACAGCTTAGTAGTAACCTCTACAATAAGCAGAAGGTTCTTGAGTTGTTTGAGTCTTTTAGGGCAGATGCTGACACAGTGCTGCTCTTTCTGAAAAGTGTACAGGATGTCTCCTTGTATGTCCGAGAGACTGATGGAACAGAGAAACTAGTGTTTAGAGTGACTTCAAGTGAGAGTAAGGCACTGAAACATGAGCGGCCGAATTCTATAAAGATTCTAGGCACTGCTATAAGTAACTATTGTAAAAAGACTCCAAACGATAACATCACCTGTGTAACATATCATGTAAATATCATTTTGGAAGAGGAGAGTACTAAGGATGCACAGAAAACATCTTGGTTGGTGTGCAACAGTGTGGGTGGGCGAGGGATTAGTAGTAAGCTTGACTCTTTAGCTGATGAACTGAAGTTTGTCCCAATCATTGGAATAGCCATGCCTTTATCAAGCAGAGATGATGAAGCAAAAGGAGCAACGTCTGCTTTCTCAGGAAAAGCATTTTGTTTTCTTCCTTTACCTCCTGGTGAGGAAAGCAGAACGGGCCTCCCAGTTCACATCAGTGGGTTCTTTGGCCTGACTGACAACCGCAGGAGCATAAAATGGAAAGAGCTGGACCAGTGGAGAGACCCAGCAGCCTTATGGAATGAGTTTCTTGTCATGAATGTTGTCCCCAAAGCTTATGCTACTCTGATCTTAGATTCAATAAAACGTCTGGAGACAGAAAAGAGCTCTGATTTCCCTTTGTCAGTTGATGTTATCTATAAGCTTTGGCCTGAGGCGAGCAAAGTCAAGGTGCACTGGCAACCGGTGTTACAGCCTCTGTTCAGCGAGCTGTTGCAGAATGCAGTGATTTATTCAATTAGCCACGATTGGGTCAGCTTGGAGCAGGTATACTTCTCAGAACTTGATGAAAATTTGGAATACACAAAAACTGTGCTCAACTACCTCCAGAGCTCAGGGAAGCAGATTGCCAAGGTACCAGGGAATGTGGATGCTGCTGTTCAGCTCGTGGCTGCCTCTGGCGCAACACCTTTGAGGAAGGTGACGCCTGCATGGGTGCGGCAGGTGCTGCGGAAGTGTGCGCACCTGGGCAGTGCTGAAGAGAAGCTTCACCTTCTAGAATTTGTGCTTTCCGACCAAGCTTACAGTGAGCTGCTTGGGTTGGAGCTGCTCCCTTTGCAAAATGGCAGTTTCGTCCCCTTCTCCTCGTCTGTATCAGACCAAGATGTCATTTATATTACCTCAGCGGAATATCCAAGGTAGGGGTCTTCTGACATTTCCTGTTCACTCTTAGGGTTTCCCTGCTCCTGCTCACTGTTAGAGTCCTTCCTTTATTGTGAAGTCCAGTGGTTTTCTATGTTGATTTTGTAGTTAGGAAGACTTTTGCAGAAAGACATTGTTAAATACCAAAGGATACATTTAGTATTCTAAAGTGAAAAACTATTCAGATGTTTATCAGTTAATAAGTTATCTAAGCAGTTGTTTTTCTTGGAAATTTCAATAACAGAACACTGAAAACAGTGATTATAAAGTGCAAATAATAGCAAGGCCCGATTAGTCACTAATGAGTTATTTTAATGACATTTAAATTAATGAAAAGTAGTATATATTAAGTAATTCTTTATAAACGAGGGTGTGTACTGGCATTTCAGAAATAAAATTTTACTGTAAGATAAACATCTTACAGAATATTTCTGAATTTGGGTGGGGTACATGATGCCCTCATGTTTTAAAGCAAAGTCTGGGTACTAATTTGATCAAATATATTGAAATTTGATTTGGTATGTGCATTATAATTTATGTAAAATAAAATAGTTGGTTTAACTGACTTAAAAATATGTGATCAGTTTTTTAAAATCTTGGAATTGTTGGAAGATTATGGTAATTGCTATTCTTTTTCTGTTTTAGGTCCCTTTTCCCAAGTCTTGAAGGAAGATTTATTTTGGATAACCTGAAACCTCACCTTCTAGCTGCTTTAAAGGAAGCTGCCCAAACCCGAGGTATTATAGGTGTATAGTATTCTTTAAATAAACTTCTTTATAAAATATAAATTTATAAGTTTGTAAGTTTTCTGTTAATAGTTATTCATTTTATACCTATAAATCAACAATTTCTTATGGTTAAACCTAATATACTTTTTGACTTTTAGGATGTTTCAGTTGCTAGAATGGCATCTAAGAGATCCTATCTAAAAGAATCCAAAGGTGATAAGCATATTTAAAAATCTCTCCTGTCATGGTGATGGTATAGTCAACGTCTTGTACCTGCGTGGTACTTTACAGTTTTTCTGCTGCCTTCTCACTTCTTTTTACATTTGAGCCTCCCATCATAACTTATAGCTCATTTGGTAATGACAGTGATTATTAAATTTCACAGAGAGGAGAGAAAGGTTAAGATCAAGGTCGCCAGCCAAGTGCCAGGGAGTCAGGTCTTCCACTTGCCCTGTCCTTGGTCTGTTTCTGACACCACTGCCCCTCCATGGTTTTATGTGGTTTTGATACTGGGTTTGCATTAGACTTGATCAGCTTCTGGGAAGCGTGAACAAATCCAATTAAGTCTGTAACAGGGGCAGGAAAGGGGTATTGTGGGGGTCTTAAGAAAGTGATAGGTGTCTGCTAGGCATCCTTTCTTTTAGGAGAAGAGTAATTTTGGGAAAACAATCACCATCGTTCTAATTTTCATACTATCTTTCAACTTCTGCAAGCATCCTTTCCCTTGTGAAGCTGTTGCCTGAGCTTTTTCTAAGTGAGATGTTGACCTGAGAAGTTCTAGATTTGTTCTGCTGTTCACATTGTCAAGCATACTGTGTGATGTGTCTTTTATGGAATGTACTTTTTTCTTGTCAAAGATAATAGCTCAGGGAAGGTTGCTAATCACTGTATATCTTTACTCATTAAAATATAAGTGAAATGAATTGGAATGGAAGAGGCAAGTTAGATCAGAGTTAAAGTGAGACTAAAAGAAAATGAATATGTAAATATTTCCCCGCAGGCATTTGTAACTATGAGTTGGTAGCTGTGAGACTGATTTTTCAAACATCTAAGTTACTCATTTAATTGTAATTGTCATCTTCAAAACAGCCTTTTTGGGAGTCTAAACCTTGATTCCTATAACCCTGTCAATTTTTGCTCCAAAGTTTTGGAACTCCTTTTTTTTTTAATGTTGTGTTATATTTTTGTTTAAAAATTTTGTGTTGAAATATACATACAGAACAGTGTAGATATCATAAATGTAGGCTTAGTGAAATTTTGCCATCTGAACATACCCATGTAAGATGAGATTTGAGTGGACACAGCCAAATCATATCACTGGCCTTTAAACTTTTTTAAACCAGTCATATGGGTGATGATTACCTGTCTCCTGGCTATCTTCCCAATTATTTTGATCTGTGTGTTGCAGACAAAAATTAGTTTTTGATAAAACATTATTGCTATTAATGGTTTTAATGTTTTGATAGCATGATGATAGAGGGACTTAGGGGGAACCAGTACGTGCCACCTTGCTTTCCTTTCCTGAGTTCTGAGTCAGTGAAGACATAAGCAGAGGAATTGAGCAGATGGATGTCAGAAGCCACCACTGTCACTGATGATTGTGATATTGGAGATTGTGGCAATGGCAGGCATGGGACTTCTGTTGACTCCCAGAATGAAATGGATTAGCTCACCAATCTAGTCACAGACAGCCCTGGAAAGCCACAGACTTCTTCCAGAGGTCCTGCCCCTCCTAAGCATCAGTCCCTTTGAGTCTTGCTGAGCATGTGCAGCTGCTTTTTCTTAACTTACCTGTCAGCTAAGTCATCTTGCTTTCTGTGGTATAGGGCCTACTGGGGGAATTGGTGAGTACAGGAGAAGAAAGGCAGAATATTATGTTTATGGAGCCTCCTTCGTATATAGGGTAGGGGACATCACACACATGTTAGCAACATTTGATATTTTTTGCTCTACATAATGATTATTCCATTGCTTTGCTGACACAGAGCCCTGTGGACTTCCGTTTACTAGTGATCAGTAAACACTGATTGGCCTCTCTTAGAAGTACTGCTGCATGAAATGGAAGCATGATACATTTTTTCTGCAATGGGAACTTTTCTTCTAATTCCGTAGCTCAAACAAAATCTGTCACATTATTTAATAATTTTACCTTTTCCTTGTATTACATTAAAAATCATGAGCTAAATATTGAGCTTGTACTTTTAGTGTTTAGTTCTGTTGTCTCTTTCTTTAGCAATTAAACTTGTTTCCCTATATTCCATTTCAGGAAAAACAAAACAGACCTCAACCGTGATTTTATTTCTTGTATTCTATCATAGTCCAGCTTCCAGAGAGTTGTCTTATTGTCTATACTTCTTCATTATTCATTAGACTGCAAACAGACTTTTGCTTCCACTGTCATTCCACTAAAATAGTCTGGCTGATGGCACTAGTTAATGATTTTTCTGTTACTCGGTCCAGTGGACTTTTCTGTTTCTTTTACCTGATCTCCAAGAAGCTTAGTGTTCCTTTTGAAGCCCTTAGCCACGATGATACCACTCCTTTTTGGCATCCACTGATTTTGCCTGCTTTTCAGAATTAATTGTGAATCTCTGTTCCTCAATTTACTCCCTAAATATGGGGGCTCCTTCCTTGGCTCCTTTGCTTTGTTTCTTTCTTTGAATACATTCATCCACACTCATGAATGGTTTAGTAACCTCCATATCTTCAGTCGCCACCCCAGTCATCAGGTAGTGTAGTAGAGATTAAAAACCTGGATTTTGTAGTTGCACAAATCTGGGCTCAAACCTTACTCCTCTATTGTGTGACTTAGAACAAATTTTCTACCCTCTCTAAGCCTCTGTTTCCTCATCAGTAACTTAATACAGTAATATCCTTCTAAGGGTATATTTGAGGTCTTCAGGATTTGATTACATAAAATTCAGGATCGCTTCACTACAAGGATAATGAAATAAGGGTTGAGTGGAGGATGGGAATGATCACAACTTGCCAGTTGAGTTGTTTTCAAGTTTGTGTTACTGCACCAGGTCAGGTTATTGAAAGCTTTATTGTAATATTTTACTCATAGCAGGCAGCCTGCTGAAGATCAACTGATGTATACATAATACATATAGTTTAACACAACATCCAGCACTTAATAAATACTGACAAATGGTAGATATTATTAGCATTTTGTACTTGGAATTCCGTATTTCAAAATCACCATTTCAAAACTTTAATCTTTATCCTCTCCCCAAATCTGTTTCTCATTTTGAGTGATCCCATTGAAAATAGCACTACCGGCCGGGCGTGGTGGCTCAAGCCTGTAATGCCAACACTTTGGGAGGCCGAGGCAGGTGGATCACGAGGTTAAGAGATTGAGACCATCCTGGTCAACATGGTGAAACCCCATCTCTACTAAAAATACAAAAAATTAGCTGGGCATGGTGGCGTGTGCCTGTAATCCCAGCTACTCGGGAGGCTGAGGCAGGAGAATTGCCTGAACCCAGGAGGCGGAGGTTGTGGTGAGCCGAGATCGCGCCATTGCACTCCAGCCTGGGTAACAAGAGCGAAACTCTATCTAAAAAAAGAAAAAAGAAAATAGCACTACTGTTCACAAGATTGCTCAAGAATGAATCCTTACATTTTCTTCTTTGTTCCCCACAGCCTCCAGGATCTGCTGACTAAATTGTCTGTGCCAGTCTGTTGGTCTTACTCCACTGCTTATTACAGGTCCTCTAATTTCTCAAAACGTTGTTACTGCACCCTTGCGGTTGATGTCCCTGCCTCCAGTGCTTGGGTTTCATCTGATTATGTCACCTTCCTGCTGCCGGTTTTCCAGTGAACGCTGATTCTATCAGGAGAAATCTAGCCCTGCTAGCCTGAACTAGAGGACTTTCCATGATTGTGAACTCCATGATTGTGGAGTGCTGTCTCACTAGCCTTGGTGAATGCAAGCACCCTCTTCTGTTCTGATTATGCAAGCACTTGTAGGTTGATGAACTTGAGTCCTCCCTGAATTTCATGAGAGCAGAGAGACCTGTCAGATTTGTCACCACCATCTGGCCCAGTGCCTACTTCAATGTAGGTGCTCAGTCCTTTTTTTTTTTTTCCTGCATGAAATGTTTTTTATAGCTGCACTTTTGTACATGGTGTTCCTTTTGCTTAGAATGCTTTCTTTCCATCCTCTACTTTGTCCAGCTAACGTTTATTCATCGTTTAGTACTGAGCTCATGTGTCACCTCCTGGAATCTTTCTTTGATATCTAGCCCTGTGCCTTATCCCTGCCCTGCAGTCTGAGTTGGATGCCTCTCTTTTGCTCCTGGAACCCAGTACATAGTCCATTTGATCCTCTTTGCTTTATTAGAATCACATTTTTACTGTGCTAGACTGCGACATCCTTGAGAGCAGGGGAAATCTTTATTTTTATATTTCCAAGGTCTGGCCGAGAGCCTGCTTGCCAAGTTTGACTGGACAGGTTGATGCCTCATCTGCTAGGCTGGGTGACCACATGGAGGAGATGGGGTGCAGAGGCCAAAAGGCAAATCTTGTTCTTGTGTCTGTGAGTTGATAGTTCCTTTTCAAATCAGTGTCTTCTGTAATCTTGTTTCTTCTTTACAACCATGAGATAATAGAGCCTATATCTCCATTTGAGAGATGGAGACATTGAAGCTCAAAGAAATTGAGGGATTTAAATGACTTGCTTGAGTTGCACAGTAGAAGCTATGATTTTTTGTTTTTTTAATTTCCAGGTCTGAATTATTTCTGTATAAAATTGCTTAACTAAATGGATGGATATCAGAAATTAGAGCATAGTTAGAAGAGCGGGTCAATGGGTTTTGGATGAAGAAAAAAGAAACAAGAACAGTTTATTTAGTAGTACAGATGCCTAATAATTGGTACCAAGGACTTATTTATAATTTTAAAAATTTTCATGTTTATTAGATAAGACCAAAGTCCATAACATTTCCTATGAGGCACTTCATTAGCTGGCTCCATTTTCTGGGTATTGTGAAGATGCCTGGTACATGGAAGGTTCTATAGATGTTTGCTATTTTTCATCTCCTTCCCTAGCTCCATGCTTTCTCCTGTTTGGAGGATAGCATGTTCCGCCCTTCCCTCAGGTGTGATACCTTTGGCTTCCTTGCCAACTCCTCCATCTCACTACCTCTGCTCATCTTTCATTCAACCCATGTGTGCTTCCGTGCTCTGGTTTCCACAGCACTCACACACCAGTACCTGTTTAAATATTTGTAATAATTTATGTGATACTTGCCTTCTCCATTAGACTATAGGGCCAGGTCTGGGACCATGTATAGTTGTCCATTTCTAGATCTCTCACCCTCAGCCAGTGTTGCCATTTAACAAGGTGGCTGTTGCTAAGGTGATTAGAATGATGTTAAGATTAGAAGAGCTTCAGTTTCTTTGGTTAGACCTTTGCTGTCTACCTTAGCTCCCAGTTTAGCCTGAGGGACCCAAATACACAGACATCTCAAAGCTGTAGCAGTCCAATTGATTAAATGTTTCTTGCTTCATTCAAGCAAAGGAGGGATAGATGTCCATGGAACAGTTCTTAGAAGTTTGTAATTATTGGTGGTTACCATGGGCAAGCAGTGGGAATAGATGATAAAATCTCTTTTTCTTTATTGTAAAGTTAGAATTAACGTACACTCACTTTGTATAGGTACTCCAAAACTTTTTTTATTTTTTATTTTTTTTAAGATGGGGTTTCACCATGTTGGTCAGGCTGGTTTTGAACTCCCCACCTCAGGTGATCCGCCCGCCTTGACCTCCAAAGTGCTTGGATTACAGGCGTGAGCCACTACACCCAGCCTCTAAAACATTTTAAAAATTAGATTTTTTAATCTAGAATATCCGAAGATGATGATAGCCTGTGCAAAAAGCTCACTGGTAGCTTACCAAATGACGTTATACAGATATAATGTAATTTGTGCATGTGAATTCCATAACCGTTTCTTTACTTTCTTTCTGAACCAACACTCCTGACTCTTACGTACTTTGATTTAGTTTGCACTGAAATATGGCTTTAAATCTTAGATGTGTATTCTGCTGTGTTTGGAGTTTTGTTTTTGGCTTTTCTTTTACCTAAGGATATGTAAAGATTCTACAGACAGCAGAATCTTAAGATACAGAATAATTTCTGTAGCCATCATGAAAACTGTGACAATTCTGACCTTTTCTAAGAATGGATTTAATTGTATTCTAGCACAACAACTTCTCTGGGGATATTCAGGTAGGATAACTGAATGTTGTGTTCATTTGAAGCCTGATGTTTTTGTTCATTTGGTTCTTTGAATTGTTTTTGCATTTACCAAAGTAGCTAGAAATTATGTCAACAATTTTTTTTTTCTGGTAGTAATAACTATAATATTAAAGGAGAGAGGAAACCATACTAATACAGATTTTTGTTATTACAAATGCTACAGTAAAACCATATTTAAATGAGTTGGAAGCATTCACTTCATAGAACATTTAGGCTCTAATAAAAGAATGGTGTGGGAATCTGTATTTTAAGCTGTGGTATCTAATGGGATGTGTGATAGTAAATGCACCTCTATTATATGATGCACACAGATATTCTGATTAAAAAGCATAGAGGGAAGTAGAGTTTGGGACCTGTGACTGCGAAGTTAGACAACCACAGCCTTTCTGTTTTGGAGTCTGGCCCAGTGTGCTTCAGTTGGTGATAGCAGAGATCCCCTGTCCTAGGTGTGCTGAGAAAGGGAAGGTGGCCAGCCTAGCTCTCACTGGGGACAGTCAGCCAATTGTTCTTACAGTGACTTGTGTGTCATTTTACTGATTGCCTTTTTTTAAAATAAAAAAAATTTCACTCAACTAGTGGTATTATTTTCCACAAGTTAAGTGTTTCACTTGGAAAGTTATAGGATAGAAGATTAGCATTATGGAAATCATTTTTATGATAAATATTTTTCTTTGAAGCAGGTGATACATACACTAAAATTAGTTTAGAAACTAAGTCATTATTATAGTGATCATTCACATAAAAAATTTTGGCTCCTAGCTTATATTAAAAGTGGTTTATCATTCATAGTTCTTATTACTATATTTTTCTTAAAGCATTGTCAATGTATCTTACATGTTTTAAGGTGTAGTCAAATCAAAGAGGAAAACAAAATCTTGATATAAGTAGGCTGTGTAATTAACACCTACCCTGGGACTGTCTGGTTACATCAACGAGTCTCTAAGACGAAAGCTAGGAAGTTGGTGGCAGAGTGTCAGTGACGATTTTTTTAGGAAGGAAAGCTAGGAAGTCGGTGGCAGAGTGTCAGTGACGACTTTTTTTAGGAAGAAATATGGTCACCGGGGCTAATGTCGAACCACCCTGGTTTGCGGGATATTTCTGCTGGGACCTGGGGCCTGCAGTGCCACTGCTAGGCTGTGGAGGTCGAGGGAGTCTGACCTGGCAGGAGGGTGGCCCTTTTCCTTCCTTTTTTTGTTTGGTGGTTTCATTTCTTTTTTTCTATTTTCTTTTCATTTCTTTGAAGATTGACTGATATACAGTACACCATTTAATTGAACCATGACTATTTTGCATGTGTGTTTACAAAGAGATTTGCATCTCTATACATAGTGGAGCACTGTTAGAACTCATCAGCTACCCAGGCTGCCATTGCCACTCTCTGTACAAGAGAAAAGTATACAAAACTGTCACTGTGCTTAGAGTCTTTGACGGATTGTTGTTGTAGCCAGCTGGAGACTGGAGGAGTCTGGGTGAATGCAGTAAACTCCCAGTTAATTAAAGTATTCAGGACTGAGATTTCTTGATTAAATAAATTTTTAAGTAGACTATATATAATATTTCCATCTGTGCTGAAAGTCATTCTCAAAGTTAGCACTGAACATAAACATAAACAATAAAAAAGTTCAGCCTTTGAGTAGTGATTCATTATGTTGATGTTATTATTTTGAACATATGAGGGATTGAACTGATAATAGTGAAGCAAAAGCTACTCTTGGAAGAGTTCCTTCTAAGTTACATTTGGTAATTATTTAAACCTTTCTGCCTCTTGGAATAATTTCAGTACTGTAGCTAACTTTCTGTTGACAGTGCTGGTAATTCTTAAGGTTACAAAAACCATTCATTTATTAAACTGCTACAAAAATTACTTTGCTGTTCCTATTAGAGGTGCTTTACAATTTCTATGACTTTCTAGCCCAGGACATGGAGACTTGTTTCTGTGTTGACATTTATAATTAAAAATCTAAATGTCTTAAATACAAAATGAATAGAATTCAGGACTTCAGATTGAACTGACTTAATGTACGTAGACCAGTGTCTTACTACATTTTCTCTCTCCTTTATTTTCATATTTTTTTCAGTTGAGCATGACTGATGTGTTAGTTGCATGCTATATGTTGGGGGTGTGTGTGTGTGTGTCTGTGTGTTTTGTTGGCATTTAATTTATACATTAAATCAGATAATTTCCCTGAAGGTAGGTGTATGTTTTATAAATTGCCAAATTTCATGCAAGGATATTGGGTAAGATTATCTGTGGCATGCATGTCATGGGGTAATTACTAACACAGAACACAGAGCAGTGCATAGTTTTTTGTTTTCTGAGTGTTTTTAATTTTAATTTCTAACTCTTTTTTTTTTTGTATCTCTAGTATTATATCCTTGCCTTGTGATTTGGATATTCCATTATAGTTAAATTTGATTCAGTGAACATTTTTAAAGAACAATGTTGTAAAATTATATTTTAATGGAACTTATATGTCAAATAGGTTATACTAGTCTGCTGATAAGATTTTATAATTTCTTATATATTACTACTTGAATTATCCTAAATCACACAATGTAGAAACTGAAAAATATTCTGAATTTGGGTATTGACACTTTCCTAAAGTTGCAAAAGTGTGCCCTTGCTTAAAGTTCTATGGCAGTAATTTTTAAATGTCTTATTGTTACATGAAAGGCAATTTCTTGGTAGAAGATAAAGTCATCTTTTTAATATGTAAACCTCTGAAATAAGGGTATGCTTTCTTGGATAAAAAAATAACAATACACAAAAGTTTCCAGGGCCTAAGGTGGGATTCCTCTTATAATATTTTCCAAAGTTGTTCTTTTTTTTTCTTTTGAGACGAAGTGTTGCTCTGTCACCCAGGCTAGATTGCAGTGGTGCCATCTTGGCTCACCGCAACTTCCGCCTCCCGAGTTTCAAGCACTTCTCTGCCCCAGCCTCCCAAGTAGCTGGGATTACAGACACCTGCCTCTACGCCCAGCCAATTTTTTGTATTTTTGTAAAGACGGGGTTTCACCGTCTTGGCCAGGCTGGTCTTGAACTCCTGACCTCGTGATCTATGTGCCTTGGCCTCACAAAGTGCTTGGGATTAGAGGCGTGAGCCACCACATGCAGCCACTCTTTGAAGAGTCTAGAAGTGATATGTACATAGGGAGAAAATTGAATGTTAGTATCTATAAGAGATCAAATTTGAGGTGTTTTTTATTTCTCTGGGAAAAAACATACCCGTAGATGTATAGTGTTATTTTTTTCATTTTGTTCCTACTGATATTATAAATGTTATACTCAGGAATGCTACTAAATTCACTTCAAAAGAAAATGTTAATTTCTAGACCAGTGGTTAAAATTAGTAAAAACTGCCCCCACAACCCAAGCAAATATCTTCTTAGTGTTCTAGTTTATTAGACATCCAAAAGTGGAGCTGCTCTGATGCCTTCACAGTACTGCCCTACATGCTCCCTTTGTTGCCTCCAAATTATTTAATGCAAAAATCCCAGGGCTCTGAAGAGCACACTTTAATAATAAGTAGCTACGTAAAGGGTACTTTGGAAAAGTTACAAATATGCTCTGTATTTGAGTATAAATATAGGGCAGTCTTTAGATTATAATCTCATTCCCATTATTTTTCCAGATGAGAGAATTCAAGTCCCAGAAAGATGAAATGACACTTAAATTAGACATCTGTTTAGTTGTTGAAAGGAAACCATGTAAGTCTCATTGCTGCTCAGCCTCAGAAAGCGCGGGTCAACTGCAGCTGAGACTCCAGCCTCTGTGCTCTGACTTCGTGCCCTTGGGTCGTGCAGCTGTGTGGCTTCTGGAAACTTGAAGTTAACACAAAATGTCCTTCATACAAGTTGTGTGTCCGTAACTCAAAAATCTGAAACGCCGAATGTTCCAAAATCTAAAACAAGTATCTACATGACACTCAAAAGAAGTGCTCATTGGAACATTTTGGATTTCAGATTTTTGGATTTGGAATACTCATCTAGTAAGTACAATGTAAATATTCCAAAGTCCAAAAGAGTCAGAAATTCAAAATATTTCTGGTCACAAGCATTCAGATAAGGGATACTTGGTGTTTATTGGGTTTGCTTATCAATTTTTACCTTTCAGTGAAAAGGTTCTTATATAAGTTTTATCTGCATTTTTCCTTGCTGCTTTTATCTGTGAAAAAATAAGCACTAAACATTGTTTTCCATGTTGATTCCTTTGCAGAACATTATAGAATACTTTAAAAAACACATTTAATTGCATTTTATATATTTATTTCAAATAATCATTTTCCAGGCAGAATTATTTCTCTCACAGTTTATTGTAAATATGGATTTGGATATAGATTTCCTATCATTATTATTTAAAAAATTATTTTGGCGCAGTTTTGCTAAATTTTTACATGTACTTAAAACTCTTAGAAAACTTTCCAGTACTATTTTATTTGTGAGAATAGAAAGCTATTACAGTAGAATTATATGTATTTATAACATTTCTGTATATGATTTACAGGAAGACCATGTACTCAGCTGCAGCTTCTAAATCCAGAACGATTTGCACGTCTTATCAAAGAAGTAATGAATACATTCTGGCCTGGCAGAGAGTTGATCGTTCAATGGTATCCATTTGACGAAAACAGAAATCACCCAACTGTTTCATGGCTTAAGATGGTTTGGAAGAATCTTTATATACATTTTTCTGAGGATTTGACTTTATTTGATGAGATGCCACTTATCCCTAGAACTATACTAGAGGAAGGTCAGGCATGTGTGGAGCTCATTAGACTCAGGATTCCATCATTAGTCATTTTAGACGATGAATCTGAAGCACAGCTTCCAGAATTTTTAGCGGACATTGTACAAAAACTTGGAGGGATTGTCCTTAAAAAATTAGATGCATCTATACAGCATCCACTTATTAAAAAATACATTCATTCACCATTACCAAGTGCTGTTTTGCAGATAATGGAGAAGATACCACTGCAGAAATTGTGTAATCAAATAACTTCACTACTTCCAACACACAAAGATGCCCTGAGGAAGTTCTTGGCTAGTTTAACTGATAGCAGTGAGAAAGAGAAAAGAATAATTCAAGAATTGGCAATATTCAAACGCATTAACCATTCCTCTGGTCAGGGAATTTCTTCTTACACAAAATTGAAAGGTTGTAAAGTCTTACACCATACTGCCAAACTCCCAGCAGATCTGCGACTTTCTATTTCAGTAATAGACAGTAGTGATGAAGCCACTATTCGCTTGGCAAACATGTTGAAAATAGACCAATTAAAGACCACTAGCTGCTTAAAGCTTCTTTTAAAAGATATTGAAAATGCATTTTATTCACATGAAGAGGTAACACAGCTTATGTTATGGATCCTTGAGAATCTGTCTTCTCTTAAAAATGAGAATCCAAATGTGCTTGAATGGTTAACGCCATTAAAATTCATCCAGATTTCACAGGAACAGATGGTATCAGCTGGTGAACTCTTTGACCCTGATATAGAAGTACTAAAGAATCTCTTTTCTAATGAAGAAGGAACTTATTTCCCACCCTCAGTTTTTACCTCACCAGATATTCTTCATTCTTTACGACAGATTGGTTTAAAAAATGAAGCCAGTCTTAAAGAGAAGGATGTTGTGCAAGTGGCAAAAAAAATTGAAGCCTTACAGGTCGGTTCTTGTCCAGATCAAGATGTTCTTCTGAAGAAAGCCAAAACCCTCCTACTAGTTTTAAATAAGAATCACACACTGTTGCAATCCTCTGAAGGAAAGCTGACATTAAAGAAAATAAAATGGGTTCCAGCCTGCAAGGAAAGGCCTCCAAATTATCCAGGCTCTTTAGTCTGGAAAGGAGATCTCTGTAATCTCTGTGCACCACCAGATATGTGTGACGTAGGCCATGCAATTCTCGTTGGCTCCTCACTTCCTCTTGTTGAAAGTATCCATGTAAACCTGGAAAAGGCATTAGGGATTTTCACAAAACCTAGCATTAGTGCTGTCTTAAAACACTTTAAAATTGTTGTTGATTGGTATACTTCAAAAACTTTTAGTGATGAAGACTACTATCAATTTCAGCATATTTTGCTTGAAATTTATGGATTCATGCATGACCATCTAAATGAAGGGAAAGATTCTTTCAAAGCCTTAAAATTTCCATGGGTTTGGACTGGCAAAAAATTTTGTCCGCTTGCTCAAGCTGTGATTAAACCAATCCATGATCTTGACCTTCAGCCTTATTTGCATAATGTACCTAAAACCATGGCAAAATTCCACCAACTATTTAAGGTCTGTGGTTCAATAGAGGAGTTGACATCAGATCACATTTCCATGGTTATTCAGAAGATATATCTCAAAAGTGACCAAGATCTCAGTGACCAAGAAAGCAAGCAAAATCTGCATCTTATGTTGAATATTATCAGATGGCTTTATAGCAATCAGATTCCAGCAAGCCCCAACACACCAGTTCCTATACATCATAGCAAAAATCCTTCTAAACTTATCATGAAGCCAATTCACGAATGCTGTTATTGTGACATTAAAGTTGATGACCTTAATGACTTACTTGAAGATTCTGTGGAACCAATCATTTTGGTGCATGAGGACATACCCATGAAAACTGCAGAATGGCTGAAAGTTCCATGCCTTAGTACAAGACTGATAAATCCCGAAAACATGGGATTTGAGCAGTCAGGACAAAGAGAACCACTTACTGTAAGAATTAAAAACATTTTGGAAGAATACCCTTCAGTATCAGATATTTTTAAAGAACTGCTTCAAAATGCTGATGATGCAAATGCAACAGAATGCAGTTTCTTGATTGACATGAGAAGAAATATGGACATAAGAGAGAATCTCCTAGACCCAGGGATGGCAGCTTGTCATGGACCTGCTTTGTGGTCATTCAATAATTCTCAATTCTCAGATTCAGATTTTGTGAACATAACTAGGTTAGGAGAATCTTTAAAAAGAGGAGAAGTTGACAAAGTTGGAAAATTTGGTCTTGGATTTAATTCTGTGTACCATATCACTGACATTCCCATCATTATGAGTCGGGAATTTATGATAATGTTCGATCCAAACATAAACCATATCAGTAAACACATTAAAGACAAATCCAATCCTGGGATAAAAATTAATTGGAGTAAACAACAGAAAAGACTTAGGAAGTTTCCTAACCAGTTCAAACCATTTATAGACGTTTTTGGCTGTCAGTTACCTTTGACTGTAGAAGCACCTTACAGCTATAATGGAACTCTTTTCCGACTGTCCTTTAGAACTCAACAGGAAGCAAAAGTGAGTGAAGTTAGTAGTACCTGCTATAATACAGCAGATATTTATTCTCTTGTGGATGAATTTAGTCTTTGTGGACACAGGCTTATCATTTTCACTCAGAGTGTAAACTCAATGTATTTGAAGTATTTGAAAATTGAGGAAAGCAACCCCAGCTTAGCACAAGATACAGTAATAATTAAAAAAAAATCCTGCTCTTCCAAAGCATTGAACACACCTGTCTTAAGTGTTTTAAAAGAGGCTGCTAAGCTCATGAAGACTTGCAGCAGCAGTAATAAAAAGCTTCCCAGTGATGAACCAAAGTCATCTTGCATTCTTCAGATCACAGTGGAAGAATTTCACCATGTGTTCAGAAGGATTGCTGATTTACAGTCGCCACTTTTTAGAGGTCCAGATGATGACCCAGCTGCTCTCTTTGAAATGGCCAAGTCAGGCCAATCAAAAAAGCCATCAGATGAGTTGTCACAAAAAACAGTAGAGTGTACCACGTGGCTTCTGTGTACTTGCATGGACACAGGAGAGGCTCTGAAGTTTTCCCTGAGTGAGAGTGGAAGAAGACTCGGACTCGTTCCATGTGGGGCAGTAGGAGTTCTGCTGTCAGAAATCCAGGACCAGAAGTGGACTGTGAAATCACACATTGGGGAGGTGTTTTGCTATTTACCTTTACGAATAAAAACAGGCTTGCCAGTTCACATCAATGGGTGCTTTGCTGTTACTTCAAATAGGAAAGAAATCTGGAAGACAGATACAAAAGGACGGTGGAATACCACGTTCATGAGACATGTTATTGTTAAAGCTTACTTACAGGCACTGAGTGTCTTACGGGACCTGGCCACTAGTGGGGAGCTAATGGATTATACTTACTATGCAGTGTGGCCCGATCCTGATTTAGTTCACGATGATTTTTCTGTAATTTGCCAAGGATTTTATGAAGATATAGCTCACGGAAAAGGGAAAGAATTGACCAGAGTCTTCTCTGATGGATCTACTTGGGTTTCCATGAAGAATGTAAGATTTCTGGATGACGCTATACTTAAAAGAAGAGATGTTGGTTCAGCGGCCTTCAAGATATTTTTGAAATACCTCAAGAAGACTGGGTCCAAAAACCTTTGTGCTGTTGAACTTCCTTCTTCAGTAAAATTAGGATTTGAAGAAGCTGGCTGTAAACAGATACTACTTGAAAATACATTTTCAGAGAAACAGTTTTTTTCTGAAGTTTTTTTCCCAAATATTCAAGAAATTGAAGCAGAACTTAGAGATCCTTTAATGATTTTTGTTCTAAATGAAAAAGTTGATGAGTTCTCAGGAATTCTTCGTGTTACTCCATGTATTCCTTGTTCCTTGGAGGGGCATCCTTTGGTTTTGCCATCAAGATTGATCCACCCTGAAGGACGAGTTGCAAAGTTATTTGATATTAAAGATGGAAGATTCCCGTACGGTTCTACTCAGGATTATCTCAATCCTATTATTTTGATTAAGCTAGTTCAGTTAGGTATGGCAAAAGATGATATTTTATGGGATGACATGCTAGAACGTGCAGAGTCAGTAGCTGAAATTAATAAAAGTGATCATGCTGCTGCATGCCTAAGAAGTAGTATCCTATTGAGTCTTATTGATGAGAAACTAAAAATAAGGGATCCTAGAGCAAAGGACTTTGCTGCAAAATATCAGACAATCCCCTTCCTTCCATTTCTGACAAAACCAGCAGGTTTTTCTTTGGACTGGAAAGGTAACAGTTTTAAGCCTGAAACCATGTTTGCAGCAACTGACCTTTATACAGCTGAACATCAAGATATAGTTTGTCTTTTGCAACCAATTCTAAACGAAAATTCCCATTCCTTTAGAGGTTGTGGTTCAGTGTCACTGGCTGTTAAAGAGTTTTTGGGATTACTTAAGAAGCCAACAGTTGATCTGGTTATAAACCAATTGAAAGAAGTTGCAAAATCAGTTGATGACGGAATTACACTGTACCAGGAGAATATCACCAATGCTTGCTACAAATACCTTCATGAAGCCATGATGCAAAATGAAATCACTAAGATATCAATTACTGATAAGTTAAAAGCCTTTAGCTTCATTCTAGTTGAGAATGCATATGTTGACTCAGAAAAAGTTTCTTTTCATTTAAATTTTGAGGCAGCACCATACCTTTATCAGTTGCCTAATAAATATAAAAATAATTTCCGTGAACTTTTTGAAAATGCGGGTGTGAGGCAGTCATTCACTGTTGAAGATTTTGCTCTTGTTTTGGAATCTATTGATCAAGAAAGAGGAACAAAGCAAATAACAGAAGAGAATTTTCAGCTTTGTCGACGAATAATCAGTGAAGGAATATGGAGCCTCATTAGAGAAAAGAAACAAGAATTTTGTGAGAAAAATTACGGCAAGATATTATTGCCAGATACTAATCTTATGCTTCTCCCTGCGAAATCGTTGTGTTACAATGATTGCCCTTGGATAAAAGTAAAGGATACCACTGTAAAATACTGTCATGCTGATATACCCAGGGAAGTAGCGGTAAAACTAGGAGCAGTCCCAAAGCGACACAAAGCCTTAGAAAGATATGCATCCAATGTCTGTTTTACAACACTTGGCACAGAATTTGGACAGAAAGAAAAATTGACCAGCAGAATTAAGAGCATCCTTAATGCATATCCTTCTGAAAAGGAAATGCTGAAAGAGCTTCTACAGAATGCTGATGATGCAAAGGCGACAGAAATATGTTTTGTGTTTGATCCTAGACAGCATCCAGTTGATAGAATATTTGATGATAAGTGGGCCCCACTGCAAGGGCCAGCCCTTTGTGTGTACAACAACCAGCCATTTACAGAAGATGACGTTAGAGGAATCCAGAATCTTGGAAAAGGCACGAAAGAAGGAAATCCTTATAAAACTGGACAATATGGAATAGGATTCAATTCTGTGTATCATATCACAGACTGTCCATCTTTTATTTCTGGCAATGACATCCTGTGTATTTTTGATCCTCATGCTAGATACGCACCAGGGGCCACATCCATTAGTCCTGGACGTATGTTTAGAGATTTGGATGCAGATTTTAGGACACAATTCTCGGATGTTCTGGATCTTTATCTGGGAACCCACTTTAAACTGGATAATTGCACAATGTTCAGATTTCCTCTTCGTAATGCAGAAATGGCCAAAGTTTCAGAAATTTCGTCTGTTCCAGCATCAGACAGAATGGTCCAGAATCTTTTGGACAAATTGCGCTCAGATGGGGCAGAACTTCTAATGTTTCTTAATCACATGGAAAAAATTTCTATTTGTGAAATAGATAAAAGTACTGGAGCTCTAAATGTGCTGTATTCAGTAAAGGGCAAAATCACGGATGGAGACAGATTAAAAAGGAAACAATTTCATGCATCTGTAATTGATAGTGTTACTAAAAAGAGGCAGCTTAAAGACATACCAGTTCAACAGATAACATACACTATGGATACCGAGGACTCTGAAGGAAATCTTACTACGTGGCTAATTTGTAATAGATCAGGTTTTTCAAGTATGGACAAAGTATCTAAGAGTGTCATATCAGCTCACAAGAATCAGGATATTACTCTTTTCCCACGTGGTGGAGTAGCTGCTTGTATTACTCACAACTATAAAAAACCCCATAGGGCCTTCTGCTTTCTGCCTCTCTCTTTGGAGACTGGGCTTCCATTTCATGTGAATGGCCACTTTGCACTAGACTCAGCCAGAAGGAACCTGTGGCGGGATGATAATGGAGTTGGTGTTCGAAGTGACTGGAATAACAGTTTAATGACAGCATTAATAGCTCCCGCATATGTTGAATTGCTAATACAGTTAAAAAAACGGTATTTCCCTGGTTCTGATCCAACATTATCAGTTTTACAGAACACCCCTATTCATGTTGTAAAGGACACTTTAAAGAAGTTTTTATCATTTTTCCCAGTTAACCGTCTTGATCTACAGCCAGATTTATATTGTCTAGTGAAAGCACTTTACAGTTGCATTCACGAAGACATGAAACGTCTTTTGCCTGTTGTGCGAGCTCCAAATATTGATGGCTCTGACTTGCACTCTGCAGTTATAATTACTTGGATCAATATGTCTACTTCAAATAAAACTAGACCATTTTTTGACAATTTACTACAGGATGAATTGCAACACCTTAAAAATGCAGATTATAATATCACCACACGGAAGACAGTGGCAGAGAATGTCTATAGACTGAAACATCTCCTTTTAGAAATTGGTTTCAACTTGGTTTATAACTGTGATGAAACTGCTAATCTTTACCACTGTCTTATAGATGCAGATATTCCTGTTAGCTATGTGACCCCTGCTGATATCAGATCTTTTTTAATGACATTTTCCTCTCCTGATACTAATTGCCATATTGGGAAGCTGCCTTGTCGTCTCCAGCAGACTAATCTAAAACTTTTCCATAGTTTAAAACTTTTAGTTGATTATTGTTTTAAAGATGCAGAAGAAAATGAAATTGAAGTTGAGGGACTGCCCCTTCTCATTACACTGGACAGTGTTTTGCAAACTTTTGATGCAAAGCGACCGAAGTTTCTGACAACATACCATGAATTGATTCCATCCCGCAAAGACTTGTTTATGAATACATTATATTTGAAATATAGTAATATTTTGTTGAACTGTAAAGTTGCAAAAGTGTTTGACATTTCCAGCTTTGCTGATTTGTTATCCTCTGTGTTGCCTCGAGAATATAAGACTAAAAATTGCACAAAGTGGAAAGACAATTTTGCAAGTGAGTCTTGGCTTAAGAATGCGTGGCATTTTATCAGCGAGTCTGTAAGTGTGAAAGAAGATCAGGAAGAAACAAAACCAAAATTTGACATTGTTGTTGATACTCTAAAAGACTGGGCATTGCTTCCAGGAACAAAGTTTACTGTTTCAGCCAACCAGCTTGTGGTTCCTGAAGGAGATGTTCTGCTTCCTCTCAGCCTTATGCACATTGCAGTTTTTCCAAATGCCCAGAGTGATAAAGTTTTTCATGCTCTAATGAAAGCTGGCTGTATTCAGCTTGCTTTGAACAAAATCTCTTCCAAAGACAGCACATTTGTTCCTCTGTTGTCATGTCACACAGCAAATATAGAGAGCCCCGCAAGCATTTTGAAGGCTCTACATTATATGGTCCAAACATCAACATTTAGAACGGAAAAATTAGTAGAAAATGACTTTGAAGCGCTTTTGATGTATTTCAACTGCAATTTGAATCATTTGATGTCCCAAGATGACATAAGAATTTTAAAGTCACTTCCATGCTATAAATCCATCAGTGGCCGCTATGTGAGCATTGCAAAATTTGGAACATGCTACGTACTTACAAAAAGTATCCCTTCAGCTGAAGTGGAAAAATGGACACAATCATCATCATCTGCATTTCTTGAAGAAAAAATACACTTAAAAGAACTATATGAGGTGATTGGTTGTGTACCTGTAGATGATCTTGAGGTATATTTGAAACATCTCTTACCAAAAATTGAAAATCTCTCTTATGATGCAAAATTAGAGCACTTGATCTATCTTAAGAATAGATTATCAAGTGCTGAGGAATTATCAGAGATTAAGGAACAACTTTTTGAAAAACTGGAAAGTTTATTGATAATCCATGATGCTAACAGTAGACTAAAGCAAGCAAAGCAGTTCTATGATAGAACTGTGAGAGTTTTTGAAGTTATGCTTCCTGAAAAATTGTTCATTCCTAAAGATTTCTTTAAGAAATTGGAACAACTTATAAAACCCAAAAATCATGTTACATTTATGACATCCTGGGTCGAATTCTTAAGAAATATTGGACTAAAATATGTACTTTCTCAGCAGCAGTTGTTACAATTTGCTAAGGAAATCAGTGTGAGGGCTAATACAGAAAATTGGTCCAAAGAAACTTTGCAAAATACAGTTGATATCCTTCTCCATCATATATTCCAAGAACGAATGGATTTGTTATCTGGAAATTTTCTGAAAGAACTGTCTTTAATACCATTCTTATGTCCTGAGCGGGCCCCCGCAGAATTCATTAGATTTCATCCTCAATATCAAGAGGTAAATGGAACACTTCCTCTTATAAAGTTCAATGGAGCACAGGTAAATCCAAAATTCAAGCAATGTGATGTACTCCAGCTGTTGTGGACATCCTGCCCTATTCTTCCAGAGAAAGCTACACCCTTGAGCATCAAAGAACAGGAAGGTAGTGATCTTGGTCCACAAGAACAACTTGAACAAGTTTTAAATATGCTTAATGTTAACCTGGATCCTCCTCTTGATAAGGTCATCAATAACTGCAGAAACATATGCAACATAACAACTTTGGATGAAGAAATGGTAAAAACTAGAGCAAAAGTTTTAAGGAGCATATATGAATTCCTTAGTGCAGAAAAAAGAGAATTTCGTTTTCAATTGCGAGGAGTTGCTTTTGTGATGGTAGAAGATGGTTGGAAACTTCTGAAGCCTGAGGAGGTAGTGATAAACCTAGAATATGAATCTGATTTTAAACCCTATTTGTACAAGCTGCCTTTAGAACTTGGCACATTTCACCAGTTGTTCAAACACTTAGGTACTGAAGATATTATTTCAACTAAGCAGTATGTTGAAGTGTTGAGCCGTATATTTAAAAATTCTGAAGGTAAACAATTAGATCCTAATGAAATGCGTACAGTTAAGCGAGTAGTTTCTGGTCTGTTCAAGAGTCTACAGAATGATTCAGTCAAGGTGAGGGGTGATCTGGAAAATGTACGAGATCTTGCCCTTTACCTCCCAAGCCAAGATGGTAGATTGGTAAAGTCAAGCATCTTAGTGTTTGATGATGCACCACATTATAAAAGTAGAATCCAGGGGAATATTGGTGTGCAGATGTTGGTTGATCTCAGCCAATGCTACTTAGGGAAGGACCATGGATTTCATACTAAGTTGATAATGCTCTTTCCTCAAAAACTTAGACCTCGATTATTGAGCAGTATACTTGAAGAACAGTTAGATGAAGAGACTCCCAAAATCTGTCAGTTTGGGGCATTGTGTTCTCTACAAGGAAGATTGCAGTTACTCTTGTCTTCTGAACAGTTCATTACAGGACTGATTAGAATTATGAAGCATGAAAATGATAATGCTTTTCTGGCCAATGAAGAAAAAGCCATAAGACTTTGCAAAGCTTTAAGAGAAGGATTGAAAGTGTCCTGTTTTGAAAAGCTTCAAACAACATTAAGAGTGAAAGGTTTTAATCCTATTCCCCACAGCAGAAGTGAAACTTTTGCTTTTTTGAAACGATTTGGGAATGCAGTCATCCTGCTCTACATTCAACATTCAGACAGTAAAGATATTAATTTCCTGTTAGCATTGGCAATGACTCTTAAATCAGCAACCGACAATTTGATTTCTGATACTTCATATTTAATTGCTATGCTAGGATGCAATGATATTTACAGGATCGGTGAGAAACTTGACAGTTTAGGAGTGAAATATGACTCTTCAGAGCCGTCAAAACTGGAACTTCCAATGCCTGGTACACCAATTCCTGCTGAAATTCATTACACTCTTCTTATGGACCCAATGAATGTTTTCTACCCGGGAGAATATGTTGGGTACCTTGTTGATGCTGAAGGTGGTGATATCTATGGATCATACCAGCCAACATACACATATGCAATTATCGTTCAAGAAGTTGAAAGGGAAGATGCTGACAATTCTAGCTTTCTAGGAAAGATATATCAGATCGATATTGGTTATAGTGAATATAAAATAGTTAGCTCTCTTGATCTGTATAAGTTTTCAAGACCTGATGAAAGCTCTCAAAGCAGAGACAGTGCTCCTTCTACACCAACCAGCCCTACTGAGTTCCTTGCCCCTGGTCTGAGAAGCATTCCTCCTCTTTTCTCTGGTAGAGAGAGCCACAAAACTTCTTCAAAACATCAGTCCCCCAAAAAGCTTAAGGTTAATTCTTTGCCAGAAATCTTAAAGGAAGTGACTTCTGTGGTGGAGCAAGCATGGAAACTTCCAGAATCGGAACGAAAAAAGATTATTAGGCGGTTGTATTTGAAATGGCATCCTGACAAAAATCCAGAGAACCATGACATTGCCAATGAAGTTTTTAAACATTTGCAGAATGAAATCAACAGATTAGAAAAACAGGCTTTTCTAGATCAAAATGCAGACAGGGCCTCCAGACGAACGTTTTCAACCTCAGCATCCCGATTTCAGTCAGACAAGTACTCATTTCAGAGATTCTATACTTCATGGAATCAAGAAGCAACGAGCCATAAATCTGAAAGACAGCAGCAAAACAAAGAAAAATGCCCGCCTTCGGCTGGACAGACTTACTCTCAAAGATTCTTTGTTCCTCCCACTTTCAAGTCGGTTGGCAATCCAGTGGAAGCACGCAGATGGCTAAGACAAGCCAGAGCAAACTTTTCAGCTGCCAGGAATGACCTTCATAAAAATGCCAATGAGTGGGTGTGCTTTAAATGCTACCTTTCTACCAAGTTAGCTTTGATTGCGGCTGACTATGCTGTGAGGGGAAAGTCTGATAAAGATGTAAAACCAACTGCACTTGCTCAGAAAATAGAGGAATATAGTCAGCAACTTGAAGGACTGACAAATGATGTTCACACATTGGAAGCTTATGGTGTAGACAGTTTAAAAACAAGATATCCCGATTTGCTTCCTTTTCCTCAGATTCCAAATGACAGGTTCACTTCTGAGGTTGCTATGAGGGTGATGGAATGTACTGCCTGTATCATAATAAAACTTGAAAATTTTATACAACAAAAAGCGTGAAGGTATTTAAAGAAAAAAAGAGGTAGATCTTCAATGTGTGTAGCACAAGTATAAATTGCTGTACTTCATTAAGCTTCATTGCCAGTTAGCTAGGAATTGTGAAGCACATTGCAGATCGTTTTGGGAGGATTCTGGAGTTGTTACCATGAGTACCGACAGAAAACCTTAACTGAATCTAGAACTGTTTTGAAGATGGTGGTGAGCTGCAAAATAGCTAGATAGATTTGAATGACTGGGATGGCACATTATTGAACTGCACTTTATATAACCAAAGCTTAGCAGTTTGTTAGATAAGAGTCTATGTTTTGTCTCTGGTTAAGGAGGAATAATTTTGTTTTTAACATGGTATATTTGAAGGAGCTAATGAAACACTGGACATATCATTGGTTTAAACATGTAAGGGGAATTAAGTCTTTGTAGTTTGTCATTTTTTTAAGTAGATCCTCTTGGTTGCATTATTTTCTTATCAGCTGGCTCTGATCATGAATTTGTTGCAATTTTATGTCATACTCAGTGCATTTAAAAAATGGTACAGTATTTTGATCCTATTACTTGAGTAAGAGTGTGAAGGTAGTACTTTTTAGAGTGCACTGAGTGCACCTTACATCTTTATTTAAATTTTTTTAATATCTTATGTTTACAGGCTTCCTGTTTCATGAAGATAGCAGTGGAAAACTCAAAATGGTGGCAGTTCTTATTACCAGATGTTAGTATTGTTTCTGGAAACTGCTTGCCAGGACAACATTTATTAACTGTTAGAACACTTGCTTTATGTTTGTGTGTACATATTTTCCACAAATGTCATAATTTATATAGTATGGTTGAACAGGATGCAATCTTTTGTTGTCTAAAGGTGCTGCAGTTAAAAAAAAAACTTCTTTCAATATGGCACTTAGCGGAGTTTTTTTTTTTTTTCACTTTAAAAACATTAAAAATCATCGAGTTTATAATTATCAGCTTATATTTCCCCATGAATGATTAGAACTGACATTTAATTCATGTTTGTCTCACCATACTTGTTTACTTTAACATATTTCTTTTGCAGAATGTAAAAGAAAGGTAATGAAAATTAGTTTATTGAGTGTACTGGCTGTAAATGATGCTAAATATATTTTATGCAATTAAGGGCTTACAGAAAATGTTAAAACATTTTTTACTTTTATTGGTAATAGGAATGTTTGCACCTCCAAATTATATTGCTTCTGGATGTGAAATCATGTAATTATTTCTGCTGTTACATTAAGTGCCATACTTTTATTTTAATAAAGCAAAATGTACATATGAAATCATCATAATGGGTATTTCCTGAGAAATAGTTCACTGGAAAGCAAACATAACATCTTAATATTAAGTTTCAATGTGTGTGTTTATTGGAAATATTAGGAAAATATTTTCTTACATATTTTCATGCTGGAATTTTAGCAGATTTCTAGGATTAATAGAATATAAAGTGCTTGTTACATAGTAGGTTTAGGTGCTCATTGATTTAGTTGAGTTTATGTCACCATTTTAGAGAATCAGATTAGTTGATACATATGGCCTATATGTCTTTGGAAACAGATACATGAAATATTTTTTTTCCTGTAGGTAGAGGCTGACTTGATACTTTCCTTGCCTCAGTGGACAGCTGCATAGCTGGGACTAATTCACACTTTAGTACTGACAGATATGAGTAGTTGTTCTTTATAGTTGAGGCACAAGCCTTCAAAGTTAGGCAGATGAGGGCTAAGAGTGCTCTCTGTTCTGGAGCTACCTGAATTCTGCATCTTAAGCTTTATTTAAAGTACTTGCTACCTCGAAGCTCCAATTCAGCACTTAGATTTTATTGCTTTTGAATATTAAAATTTACACAGAAAACCTTGTTTGGCCTTGATGATAGTTGCTCTAGTTGGAGTTTTATGATTTTTCCAGGCTTCAAAAACACCCACACAGGTTCATAATCCCATATATGAAACCCTTAATGTGTCTCATAATTTTATTTTAGGAAGTGAATACAAGTATATATAACTTTTTAATGAAGTGTTCCCACCAGGGTCAGGCTGTACCTGTAATCAAACGCATTAGTATTTCTGCAGTGAAGTCTATAAGGGTTCACACTAAATTGAATACATAGACCTGATAAATAGCCTTATGTAATTCGAGTCAGCTTTGCCACCAATAGTTTACAGCAGACTTATATGAAAAATTTCACTTTTTGAAGCATGTTAGATTTTGGAACTGAGGTTAAGGAATTTTGGACCTGAACTATTTTGCTATTCTATGCTTCCCCCTCTACCATAGTTTGCTTTTCTTTTAAAAAGATAATGGAAGCTGTCTACCGGCATGTGGATCAGCTGCTCCTGAGTAGAGTAGCATGCAGTCTAGGAAAGGGAGCAGCATCTGCACTCAGGAGCAGGCTCGCTGCTGCAGAGGCTCCAGGGCCAGGGCGTCCCCAGCAGGATGGCTCAACTGTTCATGGTCTCTGTGAGGAAACAAGTGAAAAACCTGCACCATACAATTAGTTAACGGAGCCTGGAGTGCTGAGAGCTCAAAAATGATTTGGGCAAAGTCTTAAAATAGTATCTAACAAAATGAAGAGGAGTTGTTCCCAGGTCTGATTTTGGGATGAATGGGATTTACTTGTTTCATTATTTCCAGTTGACATCTTTGGTAGTTTAAATGTTTTGTAGATCTCAAGGATGACATTTATAGTGCTGGTGGAAAATAGCAATTATAGAAATATATTTGAAGTGGAATTCAGTATGTGAAGAAGACTGCTAAAGCCAAGTAGGAGGTGATGTTTCAAATCAAAGAAGGGGACAGAAAGCTGCGTAAGCAGACACAACCTGAAAACCATTGTGCACAGGATTCTGCCCGCTCAGAAGACCTTCCACCCTCATTCCCTGTTTTCCATAGGAGCAAAGACTTTACCTATTGGGTGACCTGGTGAGGTTGGTGGGGGAAACCGAACACACATGGCTTGACTCTTTTAATGTGAATTTGGCTGCCTTCAGAGAAGGCATATGTCCATCCTCCACATGTAGTGGCTATAGAAGTTGGGAACCTTTAGTTTTACCTGTGACTAGAGTGGTTTGTGTTTTATTCAGCTGTGAAGTATTAGGAAGTCCATTTTGCTGCAAACCAGCTATCTTTATTATTAAAGCATAATAGTAGTAGAAGATTTTATCTTTATCTTTTTTACTGTATCTACACGGTTTATAAATTGGGAAAGAAATAAGTGCTATTTTTAGATCCTTAATACAGAAGCACTCAATAGTCTATAATCACATAGTCTAACAGGAGTATCAGTCTAAATACCCTGTTATGTATGTTTATAATCATGACCTGATGCCTTCAATAAAAATTTAAGTTACATTATATAATATGTTTAAGAAGACAGATTTAGGTAATCCATTTTAGAATATAACCCATCTAAAAGCTTTGATGCTAATGAAGGATAAATTTCTTATTCCGGAGAATGCATTTATCCATAACAACTTCTTTCAACATTATTCCGTATAGCTAAGGATAAAAAAAAAAATAGAATACAAGGTTCTGTTCACACTTTCTAATTGACTACTTTTATTTACCTCACTTTATCATTTACGCACTATATTTTGGACATAAACTATGAGAACCAAGCTAGTTTATAAATATTTAGTGATCTTGTGTTTTATCAACTGGGCTTGAAGACATGTTTTGCACAAACAACAAAATACCAGGAACTATTTACTAGGACAATAGAAATGTCACGGTAAGAAAACAGTTTACTCAGGACTTAAATAAATGGAAAAGGTAAATACCAATTTATAAGTAAAAACACCCAACCGCCGTGAAATTGGAGGATCATTACACTCGGTTGAGTTTGCTCTTAACTGCCTGGAAAGCACTGTATTTTTATTTTGAAATTTCAAGTGTGTGTGCATTCTAGCAATTTAAACATCAGGGAGTTGTTACTAGCAGTCTATGCTGTTAACATCTTAGTAAGCATTAGGAATAAAGAGCTCACTTTTGTACTTTCTCTTTTGTACATAGTCTCTCTGAGACTATGGAAAATGAATTTGAACTTGTATTTATAGTTATTAATATTGTCATGTCATTAGAAACTTGCAGGGCTATACCTGTTTGGAGATTCTTTTTATAATAAGTGAAAAACACATCCCGCCACTTTCTGTGGTAGAGGGCATTTTACAAAGTGAGTGGGTGGTCTACACAAAACGAACCTGTCTTCAGAGGTCAGTGTGTCCTATTTGATAGCAACGTATACAGCCAATTGGCACTAAACATTTTCACAAGCTCTGAGTGTCTTATTTCTATGAAGTTACATCCAGATTTTTGTCTCGTGTAGAGGAAAGAAGCACAGACTAGCCCTTCGATCTTGGTAGAGACAAAACCTCTTTGGGCTTTAGTTTATTTGTCAAATAAGTATTATTCCATCTGTACAATTATCACACAGACAAGTGTTTTGGACATGGCTAACACGTGAAACTTTCAAAGTGAAAAGAGCTATGCAAATTTAGGGTTACCTTTTAGTTTCAGTAGTGACCATGTGACCTTGTGACTTGTTCTACTTGAGCCTTTGTCACCAGTAACTTGGGGAAAAATAATATGTACCTCAGAGATTTGTGAAGATGAAAAAAGTAAGACAATTCCTAAACTGTGAAGTCTGGGGCCGGGCTCAGTGGCTCACGCCTGTAATCCCCACACTTTGGGAGGCTGAGGCAGGCGGATCACTAGGTCAGGAGTTCAAGACCAGCCTGGCCAACATAGCGAAGCCCTGTCTTTACTAAAAATACAAAAATTAGCTGGGTATGGTGGCGCATGCCAGTAATATCAGCTACTTGGGAGGCTAAGGCAGAATCACTTGCATATGGGAGGTGGAGGTTGTGGTGAGCCGAGATCACACCACTGCACTCCATCCTGGGCAACAGAGTCAGACTCCATCTCAAAAAACAAAACAAAACAAAAAAACTGAAGTCTGAAAAATGAGGTTGATTATTGCGTATTGACTATACACAGAAAGTCTAATTTTGTGTAATTTATTCCTTTGACTACATCTTGAAAATCAGATCAACCTCAAATTTCCTTTGAAACATGAAAGTTTTCTTGTGAAACCTGACGTATTTGCATTAAACCGAAGGGAAAATGTTAGGTTTAAGTGCTATAAACGAAACGCTGTATAGAACTTTGGGGCATTTTAGTATTGACCACGGCTACTCTCATGGGGCATTAGCCACAGCGGAGCGTCATACATGAACTCCACACAGCAACTCAACACTGCCTGTGTGCCCACACAGACAACATGGGGGGAGGCAAGGCAGAGAGAAGTTGCAATTGTTTGGGTGAAAATTAATCCAGTGGAAAAACATTGCTTTTATATTTCTTCAGCTTTTGAGATCGTGTAGTTTTGTCCAAACACTTTCACTGGCACATTTTTTTTCTTGAGTTCCTCTGGAAGCATTTACTTCCCATCCACACCGCCTCAGTCTTTCACGATGTCCAGCTGCTCCCTAGGTGTGAGGATCTGGGGCCAGCACTGCACAGCTCACTGAGAGGACACAGGTGGCTCAGAGGCAGATGTGGCTGTTCTCCTGGCACGTGGTGCCCACGCCAGCCACAGACAGGTACAGCTTCCCATCTGGACACACACAGATTTCGTAGAGTCTCTGCGAGCTGCCAGAGGGACTCCACGTCCCCTGGACCAGCTTGGGTAAGCACACAGTTTCAGCATCAAGCACAAGCTGGTTGGGAGAAGATGACACACAGGCGTTAAGGGAGGGCCACCCTGGTCGACAGCAAATACCCGTTCTCACAAGGTTTCCAATTAGTTTCTTCTCACAGAAAACGAAATAGGCACCTGACTTTATGTGAGCCATTTCAATTATCTGATTCTTGGCCGGCGCCGTGGCTCAAGACTGTAATCCCAGCACTTTGGGAGGCCGAGGCGGGTGGATCACGAGGTCAAGAGATCGAGACCAACCTGGTCAACATGGTGAAACCCCGTCTCTACTAAAAATACAAAAAAATTAGCTGGGCATGGTGGCGCGTGCCTGTAATCCCAGCTACTCAGGAGGCTGAGGCAGGAGAATTGCCTGAACCCAGGAGGCGGAGGTTATGGTGAGCCGAGATCGCGCCATTGCACTCCAGCCTGGGTAACAAGAGCGAAACTCTGTCTCAAAAAAAAAAAAAAAAAAAAAAAAAAAAAAAAAAAAAAAAAAATTATCTGATTCTTTCAAACCCTTGTTCTATTTCACATGCAGGCTGGGACTTCACAGTTCCTTTCAGTCTAGCTGAGAAATGTGACCCCACTG